TAATGTCGTGGTCTGCATGATGTCGTGGTCTGCGTGATGTCGCGGTCTGCGTGATGTCGCGGTCAGCATAATGTCGTGGTCTGCATGATGTCGTGGTCTGCATGATGTCGTGGTCTGCATAATGTCATGGTCTGCATGATGTCGTGGTCTGCGTGACGTCGCGGTCAGCATAATGTCGTGGTCTGCATGATGTCGTGGTCAGCATAATGTCGTGGTCTGCATGGTGTCATGGTCTGCATGATGTCGTGGTCTGCATAATGTCATGCTCTGCTTAATGTCGTGGTCTGCATAATGTCGTGGTCTGCATAATGTCATGGTCTGCATGGTGTCGTGGTCTGCATAATGTCATGCTCTGCATAATGTCATGGTCTGCATAATGTCGTGGTCTGCATGGTGTCATGGTCTGCATAATGTCGTGGTCTGCATAATGTCATGGTCTTCATAATGTCGTGGTCAGCATAATGTCGTGGTCTGCTGCCTGCATAATGTCGTGGTCTGCATAATGTCGTGGTCTTCATAATGTCGTGGTCTGCATAATGTCGTGGTCTGCATAATGTCATGGTCTTCATAATGTCGTGGTCTTCATAATGTCGTGGTCTGCATAATGTCGTTCTCTGCACGATGTCGTGGGCTACATGATGCTGCAGTATGCACGATGTCGTGGTCTACATGATGTCGTGGTCTACATGATGTCGTTGTCTGCACGATTTCGTGGTCTACACGATGTCGCGGGTTTGCACGATGTCGTGGTCTGCATGATGTCGTGGTCTGCATGATGTCGTGGTCTGCATAATGTCGTGGTCTGCATGATGCCGTGGTCTGCATGATGTCGTGGTCTGCATGATGTCGGGGTCTGCATGATGTCGTGGTCTGCATGATCACACTAGACCTGACTGACAAAAAGGATGAATTTTAAGCTCGAGAATTCTGAGCCAATTGAGCTTCTTACTCTCACTGGCGAACAATTGTCTCAAATTTCGTAGTTTTAAATAACCTGTTCATTTCTATGAAGTTAACAACTAAAATCTATTGCTACTGAACCACACTTGGACACGGGATAAATTATGTCCAATTTTACGCAATTCTTTTTAAGATCTCGGGCCTCACGGGAACCTCCGACGCTGATCCTTGTAAATGAGGACAAATCCTACGGTAACGACCAGGCACGACCAGCGCTCGTACCGTGTATGTTGCATGTACCGTGCATGTGTATCTGCATGCGGCGCATAATACCGTGCAGCAAATGCCGTGTGTTGTTGTCGAGAAGTGAGGCTCGGAGGAAATGCCCGAGGTAGATGTGAGTACATGCAGAAGGTTTATAGATGTCGTGAGTACATGCAGAAGGTATAGATGTCGTGAGTACATGCAGAAGGTATAGATGCCGTGAGTACATGCAGAAGGTATAGATGTCGTGAGTACATGCAGAAGGTATAGATGTCGTGAGTACATGCAGAAGGTATAGATGTCGTGAGTACATGCAGAAGGTATAGATGTCGTGAGTACATGCAGAAGGTATAGATGTCGTGAGTACATGCAGAAGGTATAGATGTCGTGAGTACATGCAGAAGGTATAGATGTCGTGAGTACATGCAGAAGGTATAGATGTCGTGAGTACATGCAGAAGGTATAGATGTCGTGAGTACATGCAGAAGGTATAGATGTCGTGAGTACATGCAGAAGGTATAGATGTCGTGAGTACATGCAGAAGGTATAGATGTCGTGAGTACATGCAGAAGGTATAGATGTCGTGAGTACATGCAGAAGGTATAGATGTCGTGAGTACATGCAGAAGGTATAGATGTCGTGAGTACATGCAGAAGGTATAGATGTCGTGAGTACANCTTAGTACCTAAAATAGCTGATGCTTAGTACCTAAAATAGCTGATGCTTAGTACCTAAAATAGCTGATGCTTAGTACCTAAAATAGCTGATGCTTAGTACCTAAAATAGCTGATGCTTAGTACCAAAAATAGCTGATGCTTAGTACCTAAAATAGCTGATGCTTAGTACCAAAAATAGCTGATGCTTAGTACCTAAAATAGCTGATGCTTAGTACCAAAAATAGCTGATGCTTAGTACCTAAAATAGCTGGTGTTGAAAAATCTTTCTGTAGTCGTACAGAAACAGTCGGTGACTAAAATTAGCTAGTAACAGAGCTGTAAATAACTTGTGCGTGCTCAAGTGGATTACACAATCACAGCCAGCATTTGTACAATTAAAGGAACAAAGTCAACAAAGTAAGGGGAAACAGACCAGGATTACTTCTTATAATAACCTATTGTTAATAACTCTGCTATAAATGACGTCAATGGCGGCAAATAACTTGCGTCCATCGGTGACATATGAGCATATATAATAACCGATATTCAGTGATTCAAATAAGCAATATAGAGATATTAAAATCAGCGCCATTAATTAAGAGCCGGCAAACATTCAGGGTTTCAAAGTACGGACTTTAAATCAGTGATTAAAATTACAGACATTCCGTACTTCTGATTACCGGATTTATTGCTTCATGATCAACGAACTCATGCAGAGCTTCACGTGAAATGTTTCAGCGCTTCAAACTAACGCCTTCCCCGTCCGAAATAATTCAAAAGCCTGCATTATCATGAGAAATGTTTCAACCATTTCCACAGAAATCTAAAAATTACGTAGCTTGCAAATATATTTTTCGCTTTATATGTATCTGAACAGACAAATTCAGTGTATATAGATAAAAAACATGTCAGTAAGAAGAAAATTAGCAATGTAAATTAATTAAGATTCTAAAAATGATTAATATTCGATAGACTCTACGTATAATTCAAAGCAATTATTTTAATCGATGGCTTAAATTTGCGTATCACATTTATTGTTGAAAATTTTACATAATATTCAAGATTTTTTAATTTAAATTACGCTGAGAGCAAAAAAAAAAAAATGAAAAAGAGAATATATGTAAATTTGTACATATTTTTACATAATGTTATATGGTTTTGAACTAATTCATTTTTAAATTATTCTTTTAACCGCCTGAAGAGATCGGGCAGCAGTACAAGCTCCATCACTGCGAGGGCTGTGGGCGGAGCCAAGCGAGGGTAGCGAGAGTGAGGGGAGGCGCGTCGTGCAGAGATGTGCGGTGCTTACAGTCAATGTGGGATTGTCTACAGTGCTGTGTATACAGTGACTGTCATGCAGTGAATGCCATGCAGTGAATATGTTCTCTACAGTGCTGTGTATACAGTGACTGCCATGCAGTGAATGCCATGCAGTGAATATGTTCTCTACAGTGCTGTGTTTACAGTGACTGCCATGCAGTGAATATGTTCTCTACAGTGCTGTGTATACACTAACTGTCATGCAGTGAATATGTTCTCTACAGTGCTGTGTATACACTTACTGCCATGCAGTGAATGTTCTCTATAGTGCTGTGTATACAGTGACTGCCATGCAGTGAATGTTCTCTACAGTGCTGTGTATACAGTGGCTGCCATGCAGTGAATGTTCTCTACAGTGCTAAGACTAGGTTTAATGCAGTACAGTGACTATAACTATCTGCAGTGGAGTGATTACATTACCTGCAATGCAGTAATTACGTTATCTGTTGCAGTAACTGCAGTTTGGCACTATAATTGTCAGCAACGGTGCGATTACTTATCGACTTGGCAGTAACTATTGGTCAGTTCATGAATAGTTATCAAGTGATAATCGAAGTCCCTATAAACTACTGAGTATAGAACCTTTTTCACAATGTCCGTTGAAAATGCCTAATTACTACTTAGTTCTTGATTACTACTTAATTCTTGATTACTACTTAATTTTGATTACCACTTGATTCTTGATTACCATTTAATTCTTGATTACCATTTAATTCTTGATTACCATTTAATTCTTGATTACCATTTAATTCTTGATTACCATTTAATTCTTGATTACCATTTAATTCCTGATCACCGTTCAATTGTTGATTATCACTTAATTCTTGGTTATCACTTAATTCTTTATTATCATGATTCATGATTCCCACAAAATTCCTGATGACCACTCAATTCCTGATTACTTATTAAATCTTAATTGCTGCCTAATTCCTGATTCCCACTATGCGAAAATAACTAAACGTTTAGGATTCTGCCTCAGAGACTGAAACCAATATACTAGAATGAATAGACTGCAATCTAGAGTTGTGGCAGACAAATGTTTTTTCATGTATTTTCATTTGAATTAAAAAAAATTGCAAACATCTGTTTCTTATGTTTCAGTCTATGATTTTTCAGTGCTGATGATATTATTTCCAGTGCTGAGCGAGTAGGCGGGGCTGAGAGGGCACGGAGGGTTGCCCTCATTTCTGCCAGTCAGTGAGTGACAGTGGCAGGTGGTGGGTGTGTGTGTGCAGCTCCTGAGCAGATTTTAGTTCACATATATCAGAAGTTAGTAAAAACAAAACTGTAATTTAACTTTGTTCTGTAAAACTTGAATGAATATGGCTGTGAACTCAGACGTCGTCTTTAGATTACCTTTAATTAAACAAAATGGAACAGTAAAAAGTATCTTTGAGATAAAATGAAGAATGTAAATTGCTGTGACGATCAATGAAAAAAAATTAGAATCAAGCACCTTGTATTACGTAATGATTCCATAATAAGATCATTAACATTTACTGAGAGTTCATTTCCATGTGTTCAGCCAATGTCTGCTGGTGCTACAGCTGAAATTAGGTAATCAGAAATCAGTATATACGAACTCTAAATTCGATTAAAATTATAACGTGATCCATGTACGAGCGATATTGAATTTGTGGAGAGAAATCTACGTATCCACATGATATTGACAGATTTTATACGCATATAGAACTCAAAATAACTAATACACACATATTTCGTATGAAAAATAACCATGGTTCTTTCAAAACAACTTCAAAACAACTTTTTTCCCTGTAAAATTTTTTCAAATAAAATTTTTTCTGCAGAAATTCAATATTTATTTTCAAATTAAATCCATTAAATTGTTCAGTAGAGAAATTATTCTATTTCAGATCGACATTTCTGTCTGTACTGACATGAAAATCGTCAATTCAGCTGAAAGAGATCATAACGTAATTTGATGGGATTAATATAATTATTTGGCCGTCGATAATTTTTGATAATTATCGACGCATTATGCAGATCTCTTGATAATTTGTTTACAATGCATAGCAACGGAAAAATTGTTTAAAACTTTTGCCACAAAATACAGGGAGACTGATCTTGTTCTAAAATCGATTTAAAATATTTGTTTCGTGACTTGTTCCTTTAAGATGCGGTAACGCTAAAATAAACATTTTGAGTTTAATTGTGAATTTATAAATGCACGGATTTACTACAAAAAATGGAGGAAAATTCTCGCTTACCATCGGAAAACCTGCACCATCACCTCCAGCAACAAAACCAGCAGCTAATTCCTTTCTACGAAACGCACTGCAGTTCCGCGTTTCCATTCGAAAACAACTTTCCTCTAGGAAGTCCACCGGAAATTCAAAATTCCTCCGGACTCGTCAATGTCAGTGACTGCAAAAATTTGGACCCACCGCACCCCTACCTTCACCTGGAGCATCAAATTCAACACAACCAACGTCATATCAACGCTCACAGCCCGTTTTTGTACCCACAATACAGCAGTTCTAGGGTATTTCCATACCATCCATCTAATTTCACATCGAATTACAATGTCCATCAAAATATTTCGCATGACGAGGTCAATCACAATCATTTTAACCGATTTAGAAACTACACACGGGATGATAACTTCATGGAAGATGAAATGTTCATACATGGCAAGTCTTTCCCGTTTGTAGACCAGGTACCTCGCGAATCAGTTGTAAGCCTCCAACAAGCTTCAAATCAGCAAACTTCTCTGCAAGAACCGTCATTGAACAGTCGAACTGGTCATCAGCAGAACACTCAACAGCCTGACAGTTTGCTAGCTCCTCAAGATGCATCGATTTCAACAACTTTACTGTCCGAAGAATCATCTCCGGGCTCACCTTGTCCTTCAACAAGTACGCCGTCATCGCCATCGTATAATATAGATTATTTAAAGGACAACTTAAATCTTCAGAATAAAAATAAGTCTTCAGAGCATCCGACCAGCCCGAACAAGCGTAGCAGATCCCCTTCGTCTACCTCATCTCCCAAGGGGGTGTCTGAGGCACCAGCACCCGGCGTGCGCAAGTCGGCGTCCAAGAAATGTTATACTGCTGAGGGACAGGAATGCGATGATAAAATCAAAGCTACAGAATCATTAAGCACACATAATACGGAGCTTGAAGATGGCAAATACATTGAATTAAACGCGGGGACGAAGGGAGGGGTATTACAAGCAACGTCGGAGAGGTTCAGCGGAGTATCGCAACCTGAGCTCAACGCGTTCAAGACGAAGTCTCTGGCAATCGTTCCGCGCCGACAGGAATATACGATCCCGGGGGACGCGGTCTGCAGCGATGGTGAGGCAACAGCTTTCGAATAATTAATTATTTTATCACTAAGAAGTCATTAAACATTTTGCAATATTCTCTACCTAAATTATTATTCTAAAAAAAAGATTTTTATTAATTTTTTATGCAATCTAACTTATAAATTATTTATCACTTAGAATTCTTCAACATTTGGTAATATTATTTATCTAAATTCTTATTCTAAAACTATTACCTTACTATTTTCCAGTCGTTTAAACTTATTTGATGGTGTCAAGTAATAACTAAAAAATGTTTCATATTTGCTTTATACTTACGTGCTGCTCAATCTGCTGATATTTTATAATTTCAATGCAAAGATAATGCTCGTGATACATGATAAAGGAAAATATTTTCTTTTCCTCAATTTTACATAGACAATTTTCATGCAAAAGGAATAAGGATGACACAAGGAAATATATAATATAACAGATGACAGATTTGATTAAGTAACTTTTACTGTGACACGTAAACCGCAACAGTAGCCGGCGCCAGCATCAAACAGGCATTTTATTGTGATGCTTTTTGCTGACTCATCAACACTTAAGAACAACAGCGAGCGCCGCTGCAGGCGCCACTTCAGTCTTCTCACTCTAGCGTTCTTCATGATGACTTATTCTAGTGTGATCACCCAGCATTCTAAACGCTGAATAATTCTAGTCTCAACAACCGCCGTTCTAAAAGCTGAATAATTCTAGTCTCCACAATACACCATTCTAAACGCTGAATAATTCTAGTACAAGCAACGTACCATTCTAAACGCTTAATAATTCTAGTCTCAACAACACACCATTCGAAACGCTGAATAATTCTAGTCTCAACAACCACCGTTCTAAACGCTGAATTAATCTAGTCTCAACAACCGCCGTTCTAAACGCTGAATAATTCTAGTCTCAACAACACACCATTCTACACGCTGAATACTTTTAGCCACAATAACACACCATTCTAAACGCTGAATAATTCTAGTCTCAACACCCAGCCACTCTAAACGCTGAATAATTCTAGTCTCAACACTCAGCCATTCTAAACGCTGAATAATTCTTGCCTCAATAACACACCATTCTAAACGCTAAATAATTCTTGCTTCAATAACACACCATTCTAAACGCTGAATAATTCTAGCCTCAATAACACACCATTCTAAACGCTGAATAATTCTGGCTTCAATAACACACCATTCTAAACGCTGAATAATTCTAGCCTCAATAACACACCATTCTAAACGCTGAATAATTCTAGTCTCAACAACCGCCGTTCTAAACGCTGAATAATTCTAGTCTCAACGAGCCACCATTCTAAACGCTCTATTACTCGATTTGTAATACCTTGACATTTAAACGCTATATCAAGTTTCGAGCTCCGTGAAAGATTGCAACAACTAACACCTAACAAAAAATAATTGAACTCGTGTACTTGCAGATCTTCAAAACTTATAACCTTGATTCAGGGCAATAGCAATGCAAACGTAGCTTCCTTCCGCGTATGTTTCTTTCCCAGACTTGTTGTGAATGATTTATTATGGAACTTTATATGGATAATATAATTAATATATTCGAATTCATATATGTACTTAATTAAATATGTAATGAATATATTTTTCATGCACGATTTATTGCATATTTAATCGAAGTTGATGCTTCAAGGTTGCCATCAAGCTTTGCCTGCATTGTGTTCACTCGACAATAATGAATTGTTGTAAGAAATGTGGCTGCAGTCATGCTTCAGGATACAGAACGAGATTTGCGTGCACGGCTTTGTTTACAAACTTTAATTTAACTCGGAAATTGAACCCAGATCTATGGTTAGCGAGGCTTATGATTCAAAACTCAAAGCACTGATTTGACACAAAATTTATGCCAGCAAGTAGTATTTTTTTATTTTAAATAAAATGAACATAATATAATATATCGACGTGTAGATGTGTGCGATGAATCAAATGAATGTACAGAATGGGAATTTCCTTTGCAAGGTACCTCATAAAATATTAATACTTCCGGCACTGCATAAATGAATTTTTTCGGTCCAATTTATTAAATAAATATGATAGAAACTTCAATTTAAATGCACATATAAAACAGTAGAGTAAATTCTGTAAGAACCACAATTTATAATTAATTACCTTTAAAATATGTCAATCAATGAAGTTCTCCCGAAGTGACGCTTCTCTTTTCTTTTGTTAACGTAATTACTGAAAAGTTAATTTCCTCTACGATAACTGACTATGCAATGCATTTATTATAAGCTGTTTCTTCCATTGACGTGACATCACTTCTTTGACTGTTTTATGTTTAGGGTTGTAATGAGTTGTTTATGGTGAAACCTCCTGTTAATTATGAAGATGCCACTAATTGTTAATGGAGATGCCACATATTTTTGATGGAGATGCCATATATTATTGATGGAGATGCCATATATTATTGATGGAGATGCCATATATTATTGATGGAGATGCCATATATTATTGATGGGTTTTGCCATATATTATTGATGGAGATGCCACATATTATTGATGGGTTTTGCCATATATTATTGATGGAGATGCCACATATTATTGATGGGTTTTGCCATATATTATTGATAGAGATGCCATATATTATTGATGGAGATGCCACATATTATTGATGGAGAAGGTTATGGAGGTTAGTACCACATATTTTTGATGGCGATACCACTTATATTTAATGTAAATGCACATATTGTTATTGGAGATGCCATATATTGTTAAATGGAAATGTCATGCATATATTGTTAATGGAGATACCATAAATTATTCATGGATATGCTAATATCGTTGCCATGGATTTAATTCAAGGACTAAAAAGTTTTCAGCGCATGACCAAGATTCGACAAGTAAAGAAGTTATTGCTTAATGAAAAAAAAATCTTGATACAGAAAAAAGTCAGGAAAGATCATTGCTGTTAATCAGTTTCGATGTTAACAACGTTACATAAAAATTGAATCCAATAAAGAAGCAATTAACAGTGAATATACATGCATCCTTTTCTAAACGTTACATGATTATAACTGAATTTAGAAGTAGACGTGTTTAATAAAAAACTTGTTAGCAAATATAAAATATGAATGAGAACACGGCAGATGTTCAAACAGACAAGGCTCACAAAGGACTATCGCGGATTTAATGGCTGAAACTGAGACAGGTAAAAAGTGAGAGTGTCTCTGATTGTAGGATGTCACAGAAATTCGAATAAATGTTTACCCGTATACAAAATTCATAATCCGATGTATTAGCAAACGAGGAGGCACAGAAAGTAGAAATAAAAAAGCATTAATTCGGCAGCATATTAATCAATAAAATATAATAAGAATATAATATATAATAATATAATATAAATAATAATATAATTAAATATAGATGTAGATAAAGTATAGATGTAGTCACCCTCATTCCAGACGAGGATGCAGAGGGTGACGTGGAGGCCCGTGGTGCGTGTCTTACGTCGCGGCACAAGAAGCCTCGTCGCAACCGCACGACGTTCACGTCGTCGCAGCTCAAGTCGCTGGAGGCGGTGTTCGAGAAGACGCATTATCCTGACGCCTTCGTCAGGGAGGAACTGGCACGTCGCACCGCCCTCAGCGAGGCCAGGGTCCAGGTTAGTCTATCTAATTTTAGGATATTAATAATAAATTTTTGGTCTTATCAGCAAGACTATAGGGTCCAGATTTGTACAAGTAATTCATGAATACTAATAATAAATTTTTGGTCTACCAGCGAGGCAAAGGGTCCAGGTTAGTACAAGTAATTCATGAATACTAATAATAAATTTTTGGTCTTATCAGCGAGACTATGGTCCAGGTTAGTTCAACTAATTCATGAATATTAATAATAAATTTTAGGTCTTATCAGCGAGACTAGTGTCCAGGTTAATACAAGTAATTCATCAATAATAATAATACATTTTTGGTCTTATAAGCGAAAGCAGGCTGTTACAGGTTAATCTATCACTCTATCAGTCTATCTAATGCTCGAATGTCGCAACAAAATATTAAGTCTCATGAGCGAGGCCACCATCCAGGTTTTTATATCTAATTCCAGAATATCAATTAAAAATATCAGCTCCTCTGAACGAGATCAAGGTGCAGGCTTATCTATTTGGAATTTTTTCATCTTCCAATAATTTGATATTTTATAGCTTCAGTTATAGGTTCAGTTTCTTCAATGCACTCCATCGTTGAAAGAGCATGCCTTCTCGAAAGAGTGCAGCCGAGATCCACGACGAGTTTTTCCTCGATGTGCAAGGGGACACACTGCACATATAATGTACACTTCCAGGGCACTCGCACATGTGATGTGTCCCATGGAAGTTATGGCAAGGACGAGTTCTTTTTTGTTTTGTATGCATTATTAAATTAAATATTTTTTCATCAATGTACTGATGTGCATCCTGGCTGCAACTCAAGCTTCCCACCCGCATAACCGAAAAACCTAACTCTTCGTAACTATCTACACGTCGTTTATCTATAATTACGACCGGTATGAGCAGTTTATTTTAAATTTGCAGTTTTGATGTAAAAATGACTGATAAATGAATGCTGATAACGCTCTTCGTGGTGCAATGCAAATCAACGACGTTCAAATTGTGGTGTTGCATTCACATACAATATATAGTTCAGAATCACAGAGTTTTTTTGTGGGTCAGCACAACCGTCCGCACAAGCGTCCAATTGGCCAACATTTTTTTTATTCAGCTCGAAACTGCAAGAAATATGCTTTTGAATAAGCCACTTAAGTATACCTCATCACTCAAGAGTATTAAAGCATAATGCATTAATCACCTGAAATTATAATCGAATCCTTAGATAAAATCGAACTTATCAGGACTTTCTGCAACTTCCCAGTAGGATTACGCAGTTTCATCAACAATTCCATGAAACTGTAACGTACTAATCCTCAACTGCCACACTCAAGGCTGTTTGGGAATTAGTCTTGATATTCCCGCTGCCGGGCACACGTTCGAGAATCAGGCCCAGTAATATATAGTGTATATACGTGTTGTTTTATCCAGAAGTCTACGGTTCCTGAAACCAATATTTAATACTATATTAATGTTTTAATTTTTAATATAGTTAATAGTTTAATATATTAGTCCCTGCTACAATTAGGCCATGTTATCATGACGTCAATTCTTAACCACCCGGCCATTTTTCCGAGTTCGACCAGAATACTTAGAGCTCACATGCTAGTTCGAACCCGCACCTCATTGCCCGGTCTTCGCCAAAAAGCCACTCCTAGAATTTTTATTTTAAATAATGAAAATAAAATTAGAGACAAATAAGGATTTTTTCGAAGTAACGCTCATAAATGATTTGAAATAAATAAAAACTTATTTACGCAACGGAAGCAAATTTCAGACCATGATATTTTTCCATGACATTGATTTTTCAGGAAATTCAAGAAAATTTTTTAACACTAACGTAAGTAAAGTGAAGTCTCGTTATAAGTGAAAAATGAGAAATCACTCAGCTGGTTCATTTATAAACTAATATTTACTACAAAAAATTACTCGGTTCTCATTATGAAATTATGCTGCACTCGATGCAGGCATTCCTGTTATCCAAGCTACGGGCGATCACTCAAGACCCGAAGTTATTCACAGCGATCACTCGACATCGCCGATCAATTGCGTGCGGTGACATTCGGCTAAACTGCGCCGTTTTGCGTGGCTTGCCAGGCTTTTTATTGTGATCTTCAGTTTTTTGCTTAACTTAAATTAGATGAGGCAATGTTGGAAATGAAACCAGTGCTGGGACGGCCAATTGTTCACCAGCGTTCACTAGATCGAGAACAGTCTGCGATTCACTGTAAAGTAAGGGAGTATTCTGAATGCCTGAACAACATGTTCATTTCCACAGACGACAAAGTCCAAATCTGTGTGGGCTCGAATTAAATTAAAAATCACTCGAGTTTTGGACACATGGCAATCGTGTTCGTCACTTGCGAACGCTGGACACGTACTCTCTTCTTCTTCGCCATCATCGCGTGGGATTTTTTTGCGAACTTCACATCATATTTTGCTATCACACGCGTCACCCTCTGCCGCTCTTCGTCCTGGTGTACATCCCTTGCAAGCTACTTACAGTTAATGTCAAGTGCACTAACAGTTTATGCGCTCAAGTTTTCTGTTCGCGTATCATGACTGTCAGACTTGTCTCTTGCACTCCCACTCTTCGCTTTCGTCTTCTTCCCTCGCGCAGGTCCCTCTCTTCTTAATTCTTCCCTCACACACGTCGATCTCGTCTTCTTCCCTCGCGCACGTCCCTCTCTTCTTCTTCCCTCACACACGTCGATTTCGTCTTCTTCCCTCGCGCACGTCCTTTTCTTCTTCATCCCTCGCGCAGATCCCTCTCTTCTTCTTCCCTCGATCGCGCACGTCCCTCTCTTCTTCTACCTTCGCTCAGATCCCTCTCTTTTTCTTCCCTCGCGCACGTCCCTCTCGTCTTCTACCCTCGCGCAGATCCCTCTCTTCTTCTACCCTCGCGCACGTCCCTCTCTTCTTCTTCCCTCGCGCACGTCCCTCTCGTCTTCTTCCCTCACGCACGTCCCTCTCGTCATCTTCCCTCGTGCACGTCCCTCTCTTCTTCTTCCCTCACGCACGTCCCTCTCGTCTTCTTCCCTCGCGCACGTCCCTCTCGTCTTCTTCCCTCGCGCACGTCCCTCTTCTTCTTCCCTCTTCGCTTGGTCACGCTCTAAGTCGTCCGTGTCGCTCGCCGTTGACGGAGCAAGAGGGAACGAACGTCCACCGCGCCGCCCACGCGATGTCTTTTTTTTGCTAAAACTTATTCATGAAAAATATTTCCGAGTAAACCAATCAGCTTTTGAGTGTAAACTTTCGAAGAATATTCTTCGAGGGGCAAAACGGATAATCATGAGTATAAAGTAAATGATGTCGCATTCAGCAGGAAAGTATTCATGCTAATAATGTTGTACTAATGATTATGTTGAACTTTTTTTCAACATAATCATGATTGTGTGAATAACTGCCTCGCGTGGTGTGTTTGTATCTGTTGTTGATAGAACCGAAAATCAATGAATTGACGCCGCCATATATTATAACTCTCAAAAATTCTTTCATTCATTTAGATATGTTAAGAAATGCTATGCAGTTTACGAAATAATAAATGAACTTTGTAAATAACAAAATCAAAAGAACTTTATAAATTTCGTCCTGCAGGTGTTTAATTCATATCAGAAAATAAATATGAGCGAGATTTTACTTCTGTATATCTCGTATGTATTGAAGACGATGATCTATTTACGTTGATGTTAAAACGGGCGATGCTCAAGTATTATTCAGCTTTATTCACCTCAGGCATTATTGTCATGAGCCTGGGAACAGGCGTTGATATTCAGCCTGGGCATTCTACATGAAAGATATTTTCCGCAACGTATATAGAGAGTGAAAGAGCTGCATATGTGGGTGTTACAAATCCTAATAATTCGGATAAAATAAATGCTGAGAAACTTCATTGCTGTTTGAAAATGTGTTCTTCTGTAAGCTTCAAAATTTTACCCCTCGCCTGCTAATGGACCAAGGCATCCTGATTCTGTTTAGTTTCAGAACATCATGCAAACACATATTGTGCAAGATACAAATAGTTACTCTAGCTTTAGAAGTAACTGGGAATTTATATTGGCTGTAGGAATACAGTATACGGTTCACTATATTAACCTACAGTCACGATATGTACCTACAGTCACGATAAATTAATGTACCTATTGTAAATGCCATCCCCTGCGCTCTGTTGGCAATTTTTGCTCAAGTGCAAGCTCAACGATACCCATGAACAATATATGTAAATTATAAAAATAGTTACATTTTGTAAATTCAGGAAAATCGGTCCAGCGTTATTTGTTCCCGAGTTTAAAATCAATCAAGAGAAAAATTTATGAGTTAATAACGATATTGCTTCTTTCCATGTACGGTACTATGTACGAAGATATTTTGTCACTATTTTTGTGATGCAGCACATATTTATAATATCATATATTATCTATGAAAAATATACACGAATACCAATATTGAATATATGTATGTTATGTTTCATTCCGGTAATTTGGGGACTGCAAAAAATAAGCAAATCGAATGTAATTACCCGACATAACTCGCTGAACTAAAGCCAAGATTAACACATCATTCAAGCTTATAAGCATCTCATTTGCCCACCTACCTGTAGTCTGATAAGCTCAGACATGAATATTATTAGTGAAGTTTTTCTCTCTGTGTATTGGAATTTTAAACGCGTTTATCAGTGACAGAAAATCTGACTTCAGTAGAAGAAAGAGCTTGATTTTCCTAGCGTATTAACGCAAGCGAGGCCTCCCCTGTCACGTTTTGTGTTGCAAAATACTTAACAATGTGTCGTGTGGTGGCGGTATCAATTATCGTGAACCTTAGACTATTTAACGACAAAAAATTGCGCATGACAAGACTTGCATGTGTTTAATAAATAAAGAATAGATTGAAAGAATTTCTTTTGACCTATTTATTTGATTGTACAAATAAATGGGAGTTATCGTAAGTTCAAAAAAGGGGAGATTGATGTAAAAAATGTTATTTTTGGCATGAAAAGTAATCAAGAGGCAATTTAGACTTTACGCAAATATCATAATTTCTCATTTTCAAATTGCACCAATTGAAAATTCTGGCAGTGATGGATTCAGGTACTTTATTATACCACGCTGAGAAAATTTTTGGTACATGAATTAATGATTTAGGATGTATGATGATGAGAAAACTATGCAAATTCTTTGCTCTACATATTTCGTAAATTAATATTTTCATCCAAGTTTTCCTATTTAAATAGTAAATCATAGCCGGCTTATGGGTGGCCGATGACCCGCCGTTCCCCTCGTCTCTTACACACCTGATATTTCTATAGAGGTAGCCCCGACGTCTCCCCCTCGTCCCGGCCTCTTCTTCAAGCAGTTTTTATAGCTTCGAATGTCTTGTGTCGGGCGGTGCCCTGAACGGCTGGCAAGGCAGCGTGTAATTGCTACCACAGCGCTGGCGCTGTTCTCGCCCGCACAAATTCTGCGACTAACGCGGCTACAGACAACCTCAGAACAGCCCTCTGTTCCTGTGCTAGCTCTTAGAGTTATGGCTTTTCAATTACTTTCAATTCAGTAGATTTTTATTTAATAATAATTACTGATTAGAAAAATTTGAGTGATTCTTTTGAATGCGCCTAAAATTAAACTTTGTCACTGGGCTTCGGATATTTTGTCTGGTGATGACGGTGTTTTTATTGTGAATCGGAAAATTATATCGATGGCTTCGCGCTGCAACACTGAATGCATTACATAGTTGCCATCGAATAAATTGATAAATTATAAGGCGTTATCAGGAAGCTTTTATATACGTCATTCTGCTTTTTTAAAATACGTCATTCTGCACCTATTACCTTCAGCATTTAAAGCGCAGTTGTAAATTAACGTGTATCTTACGTACGAAACAAGTACTGCTAATTCTTCACGTGATGCTGACGTCAGCGTATATACATCACACTCATGCAGGGTCACCATCAGTCGCATGGCTGACACTCTGAACGCGTCAGGCACGCGTCAACAATACGTCAGCTGCTCGGTGCTCGCGTCAGCTGTGATGACAGCGGCTGATGGATGACAACAACCTGCTCTAATTCTTATGCATATTACACAGTAATCACTGAAAAAATCGTCTCTTTCGTATGGGTATAATCTCTCCTCTCGCCAAATGAATGCTTATGGATACCCACATATATATGTTATGATATAAATTTTAACCTTTATAGAACATAGAACATTTTTATATTTTCATATTTTACATTTTTATATTTAATAAATTTTTATATTTTTTATAGAACATTTATATTTTAACCTTTATAGATTTAGAACATACATATTCATGAAAAAATCTGCTAACATCTGTATTTTTCTTGAATCGCAAGTTCACAATGACTTAAAGCAAGCAATACGGCAATGAAATTTACCTTATCGTCATTGCAAACATTTTTTAATGACATTGCATTGAATTTACTTATCGTTTTCTCGGCTTTTAAATTCTACACGAAAAATGTGTTTGATGCTAATCCGTCGGAAAGAATCTAATGTCGTTTAGCATATGATATCTCTTAGGAAAATTGTCATGCTGGTAATGAAAACTTCACTTTCATTTTCACTAAACTTCTTAGCTGAAAAAAAAGAAGTTCAATAGCCGCGCGCACTGCGCAAGTCTAACCTGAGTAAGAACTTTTTTCTTATTCTCAAGCTGCTATAGCATTTCAGGCACTTCCTGGTATTGAGCGTCGTAATCGAGGACTTGAAGTGACTGATGTCTGAAGTTTATATCATGACACCAAAGCCTAACTTATCGAAAACATTTTAAAAAACAAATATAATAGCATACAATTTTCTTTCTTGTTTAAGCATCTTAAAATGTGAGTTTCATGCCACCAAAGCATTTTATTCCTGAAACATTTCATTTGTAATCATCATGACCCCAAGTTGAAACGGAAGTCATATTACACATCATTTAAAACATATCAGAAGCGAAGCGTTTAGAAGCGGATGGTCTGCTTTTGAAGGCGTGTAGCGAGATTATGCACGAAAAAATCAAAGTTTATTAGCGTGAGCGGTACGATGCGTAAATGGCCATCGATTGGCGGTCTATTTACGTGCAGTGTTCGTGGGCGGAGTCGGGCATAGCTTGGGCAATAATCTACGCATTAAATATTCCACGTTTGAATATAGGAGTCTATATTTCTTCTAAAAGACGTTCAATACTGTGACTTAGATATTTCATTTGTACTAAATTCATGGTGGTAAAATTTCTAACGTAATAGAATTTCAATATACTCGCACTAAGAACTAATTATGTAGCTAATTCTTGTGTGACACACTCCTTTTCTATTTGTTTGTAACTGTAGGTTAAATTGCACCGAATTTTTTTAATTCAAGATGCAAGGATTCAGTGATATGAAGGCATGCAGACTATATCAAATTGAATAAATTGCTATGAATTTGAACAAACAATGCGCCTCAACCCATCATTTCTCCTACACGAACCAGGTAACAAAGGAAAAATTTACGGGATATTTCAGCCGGTTAGATGAAGGTTATTTCCTGGGGGCTGAAGCAGGCCATTTCTGTTGTTTGCTACAGGGAACATCTTCATGTCTGATGGAGGTAATTTCTTCAGGTTTGGTTCCAAAACCGGCGAGCGAAATTCCGACGTAACGAGCGAACCGGGTTCCACGGGCGGGTGAACCCGAACCCGGTGAGTGGCCCCCTCTACCGCCCCCCGGACCTGGGCACCGCCAGTCCGCCCCCCGGGCCGGTCGAACAGCCACTGGCGCCACGGCACTCCGGTATAATATTATATAAACGTCTTTTTCGAAGCAATATTTAAATTTTCCAACTAGCCTTTTTATTATTATATTTACTTATCATCATTGTTATTTTTATTATAGTTTTTATTGTTATATTATTCTAATCAATATCTCTTAACTGGTAACCACGTGTTAATAGTAACAATTAATTACACTTAGGCACTTTCGATAATTAATAATTAACACTAGTACCACTATTACCACGGTCAAGTACCAATAATACAACACACGTTGTCAGGTAACAGCGCGACTACCACAAGCACCATGAGCGAGTACCAGGCGCAGTACCACGCCTCTGGTCCCGTCATGACCTCCTGGAAGAGCAGCGTGATGGCAGCGCCTCCCTACCCCTTTACCCCCTCACCTTCCCCTATGTGCTCACCTTTCCCCACAGGTGAGATAGCTCTCTCATTACCTCAATCTCCAGTTACTTTAATAACCACGTAATACTATTCTATACTTTAATAACAGCGAGATTGTAACTTTACGGATGTTACTTTATCTAATTACTCGCGATCACTGTGCAAAATTTTTTTTCAATTTAATTTCACTCATCTCAATAGACTTTCATAAACACGTAATACTGTATTACTATCCTATACTCTGATAAAAGCAAGATCATAACTCTACTGAATTTATTCCATCGAATAACTTACGATCATCTCACGCATTTTTTGGAAAAAAGATTCCAGAAAACGTTAATTCTATAATGACCGCAGGCTTTAGCTTGACTTCTGCAATTCCGACGTCACGCTCTGTTCAGTGCATGCATCCGAATGCCCATCGGCTAATGGATTACTATATAATTTCAAGGCCATTATCATCAAGGACAGATCGTATTGATAATGAAATAAAACTCATCCACCAACCTTTAACCATTAGCTTCTGGGTATTTTTTAAGATTCTATTAAATTTCTTTATATCATGTGTTGATAGATTTTAATTAGCCTTGAATTTTCCTTAAAGGTTCACTTGTTGCAGTACTTCCAGGGACATACGGAGGGCTGATGAACAGCGGAGGCGGAGGCTACCCAGCATCCCTGGTTAACTTCAGGTTACAAGACTACCACAACCACGGAACTTGAATTACCCAACATTGAGTCTTAACCACTACAACCACGGAGCTTAACTGACCCAACATTGGGTCTTGACCACTACAGTCACGGAACTTAACAGACCAACATTGGGTCTTACCACTACAGCCACGGAACTTAACTGACCCAACATTGCGTCTTAACAACTACAACAGTCACGGAACTTAACTGACCCAACATTAGGTATTGACCATTACAGTCACGGAACTTAACTTACCCAACATTGGGTCTTAACCACTACAACAGTCACGGAACTGGAATGCACCAACATTGGGTCTTAATTGCCACAACTACGCCCCTTAAATGCCCCCACTATATGCTTTACAAGTGCCTAAATAAGTCTCCCAACCACCACAATAACTGAGTAGCTCAATTAGGGCGCCTAACTAATGACTATTGCTACCAACTATAATAACCCAGTTGGATACTTTCCCGATCAACTATGATCCCAACTGTTCCCTCCTTAACAGCACAATATGGTCTTTTTTATCCCCACTAATAACTTTGTAGGATCACAGATTTAATACAGTAGCAATTTGAAACATGTGCTTATACTTTACTTTCAAAGTACCAGGTAAAGACGCATATTTAAATCTATGGATTTTCGGAATTAATGTCTCGAGGTTGAGACCTCCATGAAATGAACGAAAAAACATTTGAAAATGCCTTCTAAAACTTTGGAAAAGTGTATCTTGGAAGACACTTAGTATCCTAAGTATCCACTTCTACTGTGTATCATAGATGCCACAAATTATATTGAACCCCAGTTCCAATATTACAATGGAATTGACACATAAAAAACAACATAACAGGACTCGCCACACTACAAAGTACCTCCAATACACGATCACCAAACACAATACTTAATAAAGCGCACAACTGGCCGAGGACACTATTAGGAGATTGAGAACTAAAATGGAAAATTCAATTATCATAACAACAGATTTTATATGAATTATAAATTATACTTATGAATTATACGTACAGTCATGATTATCATTTCCTCTACGGTATCTAACAAACACAACCTTACCATCTTTATCATAGCGGTAAATCACCACACCCACCTTATCTTATACTACCGCTGCCACCTCCAACGCTATTGACACGTTACGGCAGTTACAGGTATCACAGGACTGCCGAAACTACTGCTCTAAACGTCTACAACATGGCGTCAATTCATGATATCGGACAAATTAATAAAAATTAGAAACATAAAATAAATTATTGAATAAATAAATCAATAAATACGTAAATTCTGTATTTTTATTTTTTCCTAGAAGAATATTCTGATGTGCACGTTTCCATAAACGTAGATAATACTGAAAATTGAATAAGATTATGGGTTTTTAATTTTTCTAGAGCATATCTTGCCTTCAGGGTAATTTGCCCATAAGAGTCCCAGGATCTTCATGAATTTACTGCAGTCATTTTTGAATAGATTTTATACAAATTTTTGATTGTCGGAAATAATCACGTAGCAGGTCATCGTGTACAGTCGTCATTTATTTTTGTTTGCCAAAAAAAAAATAATTAAAAATAATAATAAATTGACCTGCCCCAGTTTTATTTTCCTGGACATTTTTGAATTATTGACTTGTTTATGCCACAGATGTACATGCAAGTACAAGAATGAACTAGCGGTACGCACGGCATCCCTAATATGCCTAGTAATTCAGGAGGCTAGGTATAAATAAGAAGGAATATAGAATTTAATATTTCTTCTTTCAACGAAGCAATTTTTTTAGTGAATGTATCTTAATTTGTCTTGATATTTATTCAGTTATTAATCAGCATTCACACCGAAGTATACAAATTTGAATTTTGCAGCGTCTCTGCCAAAGGCTTGAGCTTCACCTCCCTGGGTAGCCGAGTGAGTAAGTGCGCTAATATTGGAGCAGCGAGTTGTTGGTTCGGGCTTCAGCTGAACGTATTTATTTTATGATATGTCAGATAGCATTTAGGCTATGAATGACCTAATCCAAGATTTCGCGCATGACGCTGAGTCCTGCGGCTAAGGGATATTATGTCTTTTGCTTCGCATTATAGGATTAGCGACCGCTTAGAATGCTAGGCCAACTAAGATTAAATCTACATACGCACTTTGATAGGAGCATCATTATTTGCGTTTTTACAGAATTAACTTGTCATCTGTCGAAACTCGTTTGCTCTGTGTCCCGATGTAAATAAATTCATAATATCATAGTCACTGCTTTCCAGCCTACATTTTCTACGGGAAAGATTCTCTTTGGTAGAAAATTATTTATTTGGTAACTTTTTATTGTTTGAAATGGTTCATCTCTAAGCATCAATGGGCAAAACAACTAGCATACAAAGCAAATGTCAAAATATTGTTAAATTTTGTTTGATTCAATATGAAATTCGTAATTTCCTTGCAAAGAACGATATTGAGCTACTTGTTTTTTATGAAATAAACCTAATGCGTCCGGCAAACTCTTTTGAGCAGAGTTCATAATCGTATGTGAGATTAAATATGAGATTTGTAATTGAATTATATGAGATTGTAAGGAATTTGTAGGTACGACAAAATGGCGGGTATTCCAACAATGATTATGGAAGTTAGAATGCTGACCGGAGTTTACCAGGAACTTGGTATTTAATACTTTTGGTGGCCAGATCTTAGCGTCCTTTCTCCACATTAGTCTCCCTCTGTCCAATCAGTTTTGATCTGTACGAACTGGTTGTTATTTAGTTAAATGAAAAGTAGACGAAAATGGGGGATTTATACTTCTATGGGTTTTACTTATAGCAAACTTGACGAAGAACCAACTGAAACTTTTACAGTTATTTCTTAATAGTTGGAGTCTGTGAAACCACGGTTCCCTGCCCGTGCTACGCCGGGCCTCCCAGCAGGTTTGTGACCACTTTGGGGCTGATGGGCGACCCTCGGTCCAATTTTTCTATTTAAGCAAAAATAATAATAGTGATAAAGGTTAGCACATGATTTGTATCTGTTGCCACGCAATGAGCACCTGCTTCCAGTAGGCCATCGGTAAAATCAAATAAAGCACCAAATTGATAAGGTAAATTTTAATGCACTAGGTATTAGATAAATTAATTAATATTCAATGTTGTGGGGCAATATTACAATTATTTTGATGATTGACGGGTACTTCAGATAAAATGATGACTTTCCGAAACCTCATGATGCTGAATTAGGAAGAGGTTACGAACCTATGGCCAGTCGGGAACACCAGAGAGATAATTAAATACTGGGACAAGAGTCCGTAGAGTTACTTGTGGGATGTTTCTTCCAGTGGCATTTGAATCACATAAATAAATCAAACTAATATTCAGTTGCGGTAAATATATTCTTTATGTTCATGGAATATCATTCGCCAAATTATGATAATAAATCTTACTATATGCGAAATATTTCATCGATTTTGTCTTTCAAATCCACATAAGGCCTGTAATATAAACTCTTCATAAATTGTACGTTCAGACAGTTCAGTCATTTCATTAATTTTATTTATTTCCCTACAATACCTATGGCAAATCTGACTTATTGGGAAAATCAGTTAAGTGTAAGTGTAGGAGATGTCGCTGCATGGATTATTATAGGATTGCTTTTGAACGGTTGACAGATAAAATTAAAAAATAATTGGCCAGCATGGTTTAAATTACCGGTTGAAAAGTACGGCTGTTTCGTACGCAATTGTTAAAAATGGCAAGCAAGTATGGTTGACAAGAAAATATTTTCTATACGAATGTCATGTTCGGTTGATAAGTACGAGTGTAAAGTACGGTTTGTAAGTAAAATTAAAAAATACAGTTGATATTTTCAGTTGACAATTATGGTTAACAAACACGAATGGCATTATGGACTTTAAAGTTTGACCGATAAGAAGGATTGCGAATGGTAAGTACGACTGTCAAATTCGGTTGACAGCTTTCGGTTAACAGAACGGCTGGCAGGTATAATAGACAGCACTATTGACAGGTATGGTTGACGGCTGCGGTTGACAGGTTCAGCTGAAATACACACATGAAAGATACAATGAATCAGTGCGGTCAACAAGTACGGTTGACAAGTGCGGAAAGCTAACAGGTTGATAAGTACGGTTGACTAATACACAAGATATATTATTGAATGATCTTTCATCGGACAAACACGGCAACTTGAAGTTAGGGACAAGAAAAAGCCAAATAAGAAGAGGAGTATGATTATTGTCTAACGCAGCGTGTTATTTACAAAGGTGATAAAGGAAGGTAAGCGACTTAAAATTATATTTACTGTCTTCTAACACACAACAGCCACACGGCGCTAGTAAATACTGATAGTATTTTGATGATCAATCTCGACATATATAAAACGACTCCGTTCACAGTAAATGGTATAAGGTTATTCCGATTATTCATCAGATTAGTTATTCAGATTAGTCAATTTTTGAGTTGAGATAATGCAGAGTGATCCGCAGAATATGTAAAAACTTGGTTTTATATATGTATATTTATAACGATCATCGTATCTGGTCAGTGAAATAGCAAAATTTCTCTGAGAAATCTCATGATTGATCACCTTCAAAAAGATCCCTGCATTGAAAGTGGTTGTGGTTGGCAGGAATTAACTATTGAAGTGTATATATGATACTTTTCTATTTATTTTGTTAATTCAAAATTAATAATTTGATGTCTTAGGTTTCATTTAGAAAAACATCATATCGGATTTTAGGAAGTTGAACCTCCCACAAAACTTCAATTACATTCATGTGCCCTTTGACTGAATTTATCGAAAGATAGCTGAATTCACGATGATTATATTTTAAAATTCCGGATCAATTTTTTGTTACTTTTAATTTTTTTTATTTTATTTCATAAATAAGAATTTATCCCCGCGGGCTTGTTTTGCAACCGGAATCAGTCTTCCATAAATTCGCAGATAATCTGTTTTATTCATTTCTGTTTTATGTTGATTATTCGTATAATGTATATCTGTCGCAGGCGTATTATTCTTTCAAATTTTATCTGTCGTGCGCTGAGTATTCTATTCAAATTAATGTATTTGCAGAGAACAGACATTCCAACAAGTTAAGAATTACATATTTTACGTACTTTAGTTCAATTTTCTTATGGCCCTCACATTTTAAAAAGTCCGAGGACTGAGTTACGCTTCCAAATTGTAATTGCAATCTTCAAAAGCCTATCATTTAAACGGTTGAGTACACGACACTTAAATCGATAATTTATTAGCTATTGAGTGTTGACGTATAGGCTGAATTTTCTGTACTTTTGATCCTTCGTATGTGCAACCACTTGCAGTTATATTCAAATTTCAACAGTCTGCAATCACTTATTGGAATATGCACTGAATACAGCGCTAAAAGTCTTCTAACTTAGACGTTTGATACAATAAGTTAACTTCAAGAAAATACTTAAGGGATTAACCTCATGATTATTTAGTCACTCTTTTCCTATTCATAAAATGTATTGAATTGGTGAAATTCTTACAGACAAACATGAAGATGTTAGTGTGAGACATCATCGTCATGCACCACATCATCACGTAAGACATCACATAACAGGTCATGTATTGCAGATTTTAGTGCATCAAGCAGCACATCATTGTCTCACACCGCACCATTCTACGGCTCATCATCTTGTGCCTTATCATCACCATGAACCACATCATCATGTAACTCTTCATCATCATGTAACTCATGTTTATGTATCACATCATCGTCGTGTAGCACGCCACTATATATCTCATAATATTTTCCTCATCGTAGTGATGAACATCACTCCACACATCATAGTCATGTTAGCTCCCTAACTGTACGGGAAGTTATGTATGGCTCTGCGTATCAATAGCACAATAGTCTAAGAATGTTATATGTTGAGCAAGTAGATTATCTACAGCAGTAAACGTTACATTATTACATATTCCAATTATAAATTAAACGTTAACCATCCATGTATTAGTTAAATGTAGAGGCTGATGTCTCTTAAAGAGTTATTTGCCTTACCGGTAATGATATACATATAAAAGTAACTTCATAATAGTTAGTAGCATCGTGAACCTGCGAGAGAGATTTTTCTACATTCATTCTAAACAGCTTTCAAGTCAGAGAAAAAATGTTTGAAGTAATTAACCTCAAATACCAAACTCTAAAATTTTATGTTGAATTCATTCTTTGACGATAACTTTTGAATCGATTTTTCAAAATGTCAAAGAAATGGAAATGATGATTAAATGTGGTAAATTAAGTCTCCCGCAAACGTTCATATTGGCATGTTCAAATTAGTGATCTTAGGTGACGAAATTTTTATATTTTTTCTCAACACTTAATATTTGGCCGCCGGAGCTCCGGCGATGACCGGCGCAGAGTCGAGGCGCAGCAGCACCGCCGCCACAGCGCAGGCGACGAGCAGCGCAGCGCACGGCAGCAGCGCTGCGCTGCCCCGGCCTGAAAATGTGAAAGAAAATTAGCTTGGTATTAAGATCTTTTCAATATATATAGTGGTGTGATATAACGTTTCAATATTATGAGTGTTATAATATTAGGGATGGTACAATACTATCCGTGGTACGCTATTATTATTAGTACGAAATTATGAGTGGTACGACATTGATAGCGGATAATTATTAGTGGATACTAATTGTTTGTACCTGTGTTCTAGATTTTGAACTGACGATGGAGCTGGACTCAGAAACGTTTTCTCTTATAAGAAATGGTGAACTTTTTGGCTATTTTCTTTACTCTTAAATTCCTGGTAAATTTGCGACTTAAGCAGCCAAGTGATCTTAATACTTAGTGGCATGATATTTTAACTGATAAGATTTTTTGTGTGGTACATTGAAGCAAACTATGAAGAAGCAGTACAAAAATATGAGCAGTGTGTTCGATATCGAGCAATCCAAAATGGACGCATCGACAAATTGTAAAAAATTAAATCGAAAACTTCCGTAAATTGATAGAGTTACAGTAAAATGAATTTTGCCCAAGAATTTGAAACGCAAACATGACGAACAGAAAATTCCAGCAAATAAAGCGATTAAAAAAATTCTCGAAGACTTTTAACGCTTTTTTTGTCTACATACTGACGATAACTCGTATTGACTTTTTCATTCGGAAAATTAGTAAAATTGGGCACCTTCATTGAAGCAAAAAGCCATGGGATCCTAAGTTATCGTTTTGAAACTAAATAGACTGCACAAATATACACACTAAGTATAATTTCTCTTGCACACAACTTTATAAGGTACACTTTCATCGCCCGGAACAGAAATTAATGCAGGTATGTATTAATTTTCTCCATTAATTTGTTATAATAAATGACATCTTACTTTTATTCTAAGATGAAGTCATGTTATAAAATTTAATTGAGGCAATGGACTCAGAAAGCAGCGGCTGGTGAGCGATGCGCCGCGCGATAGCCTGCCCCTGTCGTGCCATGGCCCCATCGCCGGTCGCTCGCCCATCATAAACACCAAACAGCAATCAATACATAGAAAAATAATCTATCATCAGCACTTCCCGTGAACACCAAACAGCAATCAATACATAGAAAAATAATCCTATCATCAGCACTTCCCCTGATCGTCCCGAGCTCCTTGCACACGTGAAGAGTTTAATGCAACTTGTGGGACCTGTTGTAGAGGTTTGTTGGTCCTCAGTCAAAGATGCGTGATAGCCAATCGAGTAACATGGATGCCTTATTTAATGTCCAGAAATCTAAATTTACTTATAAGCCCAATGATGATGGTTTCGTTTATTTTATTTCTAAAATGATGTTGTGACGGGATTCTAATTTTTAATTATAAAGTTTGATGGTGATGATGGTTTTGTTTATTTTATTTCTAAAATGATGGTGGTGATGGGATGTAATTTTTAAATACGATTATAAAGTGTGATGGGGTTATAAAACCATAGAAATTTCCTTATGTGTGTAGGGAGAAACTATCTTGAAAAGATAATTGAAAATTATGTGGTAAATGACACGTTTTAACTCAGCCAATGACGAGATTATATCGAAATATCAATTGAATTATCTATTCAAATTGAGATGATTTATGGATACCATTCTCTGACTAGAAATGAGTGGCTATTCATTTGAAAGGAGTGGCTTTGTGCGGGTTTAATTCCCCGCTCAACTGTCTTCCATTCTCCTCTCAACTTCTTCCATTCCCCGCTCAACTTCTTCCATTCTCCTCTCAACTGCCCTCCATTTTCCCGTTCAAATTCTTCCATTCCCCACTCAACTCCTTCCATTCCCCTCTCAACTGCCCTCCATTCCCCACTCAACTTCTTCCAGTCCCCACTTAACTTGCTCCATCCCCACTCAACTTCTTCCATTCCTCACTTAACTTGTTCTAATCTTCACTCAAAATTTTCCATTCCCCAAGCAACTCCTTCCAGTCATCATTCTCAACTGTCCTGCATTCCCCACTTAACTGTATTCCATTCATCACATAAACTGTTTTCCATTCTCCACTCAAATGTCCTTCATTCCCCACCGAAGTGTGCAACGGTTGAGTGGCTTAATGAGTGTTTCACTTGCCACACAATCGTCCCCAATTCCCCACTCAGCTGTCCAAGGGTTTCCTGGAATACTGCACAATTCGAAGCTTTTTCATAGCGTCCGGGCTTTCTTCAATAAAATACAGGAATTTTAAGACCAGGTTCCAGGACATCGTACACGTTAGAAATAGAAAGATATTTTGCACAATTTCCTTAGTTATAAGCTCTTCAATAGGTTTTTATCATTAAAAATAGATCTTTACTTTTCAGCCAAAGCACAATAAATTTCTGAGAATTATTTTGTTTAATTCTGTTGACTGTTTTTAGAAGTAGTTCATTAAAGTATCGTGGCTGTAATCATGGTAAGTTTTTGGTTAACCGATGCTTGGTCACCAATGATTTTAACGTGCTTCAGACTTCTCTTGTCTACTGCACTCTGTTGAAAATTTCAACCTCATTGTAGTCGGTCAATCGCTGGCCGTCCATCCGCCATCCTTAATCCTGCTAGGAATCCTAACCGCACGAGTCGTGAGCGAGTTCCTTGGAGGCGATAGGAGTGAGGATTTATAAGGTATGAAACTGTCGTAAATGAGCAGGATTAGCGTGCAATGAGGCCTTGCCGGAGCTCATTATCCTGGGGTCACGAACATTGCTTTATCGACAATACATGGAAAGTGTCCGAGGATTTATGCTTTGAAGTGTTATCGCACTTGTGCTACTTCAACGTTTATTAGTTACGTGTATTTTTATTAAAAGAAATACATTGAAGAGATATAGACAACGGAGAAGTATCAAAGTGCGTTGAACAGTAAGCTCTTATATGTCATAGTGTAAAATATTCAAATGATCTGCTAATTTCATTTGATATCACAAGTTCTCATTTTTTTGCATCGTTGATAGAAAAAGATTAATGATGACAAGGATATATACTTTTAATTTTATCACCGCATTTAATTAAAATTTACATTTCCGAATTTTGTAGATAAATTTCGATTTCATTTTTATACTGGATCATTCCTCTTCATTGTCCATCATGTTACAACCCATCACATTCCTCAAGCCATTCCTCGTCAGCCCTCGGCGTGACGCGTACACGTGCGTGAAGTGCGTGACGCGTACACGTGCGTGAAGTGCGTGATGAGTGACGTGAGTGGAAAGCGTGCAGCAAGTGTCACGATGCAGAGGATGGATGGACTTTAACCTGTTCTTATAGACCGTAAAACAGAGCCAAGGAGCCCTTCATGCTGCACTGAGCTGCTTGCCCAACCCCTGGGTGGTCAGTCCTTCATGTTGCACGGAACAATACACACCCAACACCCGGGGCTCAACCCTTCATGTTGCATGCAACTCCTCAGTTCCCACCCAAACCCCGAGGGGTCCTTAACTCGACTGGTAATCGCTCACGCTGCCTTACATTCAACGCACGATATAATCAAGGGAGCGGTAAAGGAGAGCGTTTTTTCTAGGGAAATGATTTTAAGTATTGAGAATGGTTAGACTTAATTTTCAGGTACAGAAACTAACAGATTTTCTAAATAAATTTTCAGTGAGCCCATGACTGCTTACAAGATTAAAAATGCATACCTACATCCAATGTACGATAAGATGAACTAAACACCTAATACACTTCATTGATACACATAGACAAATTTATGCTTCTACAATTAAATTTTGCTGAATCGGACTTAAAATCAAACAAATTGGAAAAAATGAAATTGTTGGGACTCTATTAGTTTGAAAATCTTTTACTAACGTAAGGTAAGTGCGTTAGGAAAAAAGGACGTAATCAGAACTCAGAATATTCAGCCTTTCAAGAGGAAGTTCCAAAGGTTACCTATTACAGGAGAGTGTGAATTTTCAAGAATTTGATTTATGTAACACATGTATTAAACTTGATCTAATGAAGGCTTATATCGTCTTATTTTTATGGCAGATAAATTTACAGAGAATCCTAATACTTATTATTGGGATTACAATATACACTGGTCTTTTATTTCAAAATCAACTTCACGTGTTAACAAAGAATTTCATTCAGTACCGGAGCTTGATAGAGTTTTATCAATTATTTGGTATTTTTTCTCTGTGGTATGCTTTTGGGTGTACTTCGAGAATGGTTAGCAAGCAAATGGTTTTTTACCCTTGTCGTTCGGTATTATTTTGCAGCGTGATATTCGTACGGGGCGAAGTTACAGTTGTATCTAAGCAAACCGACAAAGTTTAAAAAAGAAATTAAGTCTTAGAACCATTATAGATTTTCTTAAGCTAATAGTTTTCACCATTTATTTGCATTCCAATGCCATTTAGTAAACATAGATAGCTACTTCTATGCATCAAATGGAAACTAATAGACAATTACGCCTACCTAAGGGTCAAAGTCTCGCTGAGGTTAGGTCAAGATTCATTGGAGATAATTTACTTTGTATTCAGGCTAAATCAATTATCTAAACTAAAACGATTTTTCACCCAATAATGCGGTCCAGTGTCTCTCTGGCAAGAATGCAAGGTGACTTCAAAAGACCGTTTGTGCATAAGCTGTGCTAGTGACCTTGAAAGCTTAGTATTTGTGTAATAAATTTGTACCGTAACTTCGAAAATTATAACAGGACTAAGTACACTATATCCTCAACAGTAAATTTTATTACCGCGGACCTTCGTATATATCAAAATTTCAAGATGCAATGAATTGCAAAAAAGAAAAAAAGTTCTCTGGAAATAATTTTTTACATTAGCATCAAAGTCAAAATTTTTCTAAATGACTGTAATACTTTCAACTTGCTACCAGTGAAATATTATTCAAGTGAAAAATTTTTTTGAAGAACCAACCCGCTGGCACGAAATTCATTTGTCACCATGTGCATATTTCTATATTCGTGCGTGCGTCGCTTGCGTCCCTGTACCAAGAAACTTATTTGCATTGAGATTGGTGGCAGTGACAGGTTAAGAGGCAGCAATGTAATAAGAGTAGAGTTCTTCAAATTATTGAGTGGTGCTAAACGTGCAACGAATATGTGCTGGTTGAATTAACATGACCAGCTTAACTCTCCGTTGAGTGTTCAATGAGTATAATTCGCTTTAAATTTGACGGATATTCTTCTAGGACTATTCTCCTTCTTGTCACGGGTCCTTTCTGCAGCTAGGATACTCTTCATTTATGAATACTTTTAGGATAGTGTCGTGAACTATGAGTAAAGTTTTGCTCTGCCACTTTATGGTATGCAGTGGACAGTGAGCTTTACTTAATTAAATTGTTGTGAGCTAGATGTTGCTTATTTACCATGTTTTATTGGCCCCTAAGCTTTGTAGCTTATTAGCCGTATGGTATTTACTCATAAGCATAAAATGTCTCCTCAAGACTAACGATTTATACCACATTGCGCGGCTAGTCTCGATACGCATAGAACTTCGCTCCTGTTCTAGATTTTACGTTCACCGCATTTTAAAAACTTGGGGCTCGTGACGGTTGCTAAAATCTTCGATAAACAAGCGAGCAGTTCACGCCCACCATTTGAATTTCCAACGATTTCCGTGTGGTTCCAGAAGAGATTATCCACACAGCATTAACGAGGAGTTCATTTTGAAAAACCTGATGAGTGTAGGATATCGAGTTTAATTTTGGGATTGCGCTACGCTTAATTTGAAAATTTATTAAAATAAAAGTTAAAACTTTATTGGCACTCGATCGCTGGTCCGAACATCTAAGAGTTATCGGTAAATTACTTGTCTAAATAAAAGAATAAATGACGCGTCATATATCATAAATCATCTCAAATGACTATATATTATTATGTGTTAGTAGCTGAAACTGGAGCTGTCTAGATAGAAATGTTTCGTCATGAAAGCAATTCCACAGGAAACTGAACCCATTCATTGCTTTGTAGATTACACAGGAAATGAGTCGTTACGACGATGAAAACTATAGTCCGGGAGACTATGAAAGTTTCGTCGATCAGGGCGATAATGTCGATCTTGAGGAAACCGGGAATGACACTTGGTATTTTAATATAGGGTTCGCGCTGTTGAACTTTTTCGGCTTTGTGTTGAAGAACGCTCAATTCATGATCACGAAGGCTCATCATTTCATAACGGCTCCCTTCGTGACGGTCATGAGGGAGAATCGGTCCCACCAACCTCGTGGCCGTCCACGGCGCTCGCAAAACTTGCAAAGGCCGCTACATGAAGATCCATTGTTGCAGCAGCAGCCACGGCTTCGAGAGGATCAGCAGCCACGGCTTCGAGAGGAGCAGCAGCCACGGCTTCGAGAGGAGCAGCAGCCACGGCTTCGAGAGGAGCAGCAGCCACGGCTTCGAGAGGAGCAGCAGCCACGGCTTCAACGTCACCCGCTAGAGTCTCATCACAAAAAACTCAACCCAACTAATCAAAAGCGAAAGCAAGAGTTGAAAGAATACACTAATAATCATTTTTCGGACAAGAATCCAGAATATAATCAAAACTATGTGCATGATAAGAGTGAGAGGAGAGATTCTTTTTCCGCGTTCAACACGGAAATTCCGGCGCAATGTAAAACAGACGTCCGAAACGGACCTGTGGGTGAATTTCAATCAAGCAGTAATGTCATGCCTACACGCACGTCTTCTGACTCTCTGAATTTTAGGTCTAGTGTGAGTTTCAACAACGAAGAACGCAATTGGAGCCGAAAGACGTACTATGCTTACATCATGAAAATAACCTTCTTGGAAACGATGGAAGAACTTTGGAGGAAAGTTGGTCACATGGTCACTTGTATCGTAGTTGTGAGTGCGTGTATCGCGATTATCGGAATCATTGCCATGATGATTTGTGTCATGTGGACCACAACAATTTATCGGGCGGCTGATACTAATTTCCACGTTAGGGAAGGAATTCGTCCTAAGGGATACGTCGCAACTTCGTGGTCTACGAGGGCGCTGAGAAGGCGTGAGTGTAGCTCAAAAATACGCGAGCTGAAATGAGATTAGCAAGTTATCACCCATCCATTCTGATATCTGTGGATGCTGGCGTAATCGTAAGATATCAGACAAGATATCAGATAATTATTAATCGTAAGATATCGTAGCGTAATAAATTTCTAGCGAGGTATATTGTCAATACACGAATTCTTTCCTGTTGCCATTTTTGTATATTAATTTTTAACTGTTTTATATGCAGACGAGAAAACTAGAAAACTGAATTTATTTCTCGACATTCCCTCGTGATTGCTTTCTTACTGCCAGATTACTGCATGAACGAGTGCAGCAATAACCCACATTGCATGGCCGGCACGTACCTCCACAACCGAACCCGGGACTCCAACTGCAACCTGTACAGCTATCAAAACAGGGACAGGCTGATGACCACCACAACGATACCAGACCAGAAATCAATAATCTTTTTCAAGAAGTCCATCTGTGAGTATTTTGAAGCAAGGTGGTATCAATCTTGATTAGTAGCAAATTCATTTCTTCAGAAAAAATTAGACTATGCATTTTTTTAGGTATGAAAAAAAATTCTTCGCTTGAAGACGTGCCAGCTTCAGAGAGGGTCTCCGAATAATATATTTGATTAGGCAACAAAGAAGAATTATAGGCATGTTTAATTCAGGAATTCTCGAGTTTTCCCAACTCGAGCTCATATGATATAAAAATCAGGATTTACATGTCGTTAAAAGCAAATTAGTAAAATTCCAGTCTTGGATGATTAATTTAACTCACCAAACCCGAGATCAACGGATTGCAAATTAGAATATCACAAATGATCAACTTGCGTGAATGAAGGGCTCTATACCAAATATGCGGAATTGGAATATCTAAACAATCCATGCATTTATTTTCTCCAGTTCTGATGGGAGAGGAAAACCCCAAAGACTTGCTGCTGTACTTCACGCCTTCTCGACCACATTTGTATACCAGCGTGGAGCTTGTGTGTGACAAACGAGATCGCCTCTACCATCCCGCGCTGTCCCTCCCTGGCACCGCCGTCCATAGTTGGGTCAGAACCAACATCAAGAAAATCAACTCTGGCAACCCAATTAGTGAGTTACTTCTTTAGAAATGAACAAAGTGTTTACAGTTTTTATAAAAATCATTTAGCTTCTCGTAATTTATTACTCAAAGTAGATATAGGCTTCTTCGTTGAATAATGGATCAATTAATTGGGAATAGAATAGCTTATTTTTAATTTGCAGCTTTTTAGGTGAATACATTGCAAATGAAATAAATTGTTAAAGGAAAATAATTGCCATTTTATCGCGGCAGATTTTCTTTGAATGGATTTCAATTCGATATGATACAAGAAATAATAATAAATTCACTTTGGCTTTTTATTTGCTTTAAAACTCTTAGGTGGAGGAGCTTTACTTAGGCTTTAAAACTCTTATTTCAATAATTTAAATAGATGAATGGTACCTATATATATCCAAATTATTGGCATGCGAGAATGAACTGCCAATTGGTGATGATCAATAAATATATTATTATGTTTTATGTATATACGTATATTTACTCAAAAACTAGTTTTAAGTTTGAGACTAGTTGCAGAGAAACTTGTTAATTTCTCACCCGATACATTCTAGCACTGGTAAAACGCTTACATATCTTGAACGGCATTTTTTCTGTTGCAAAGAAGTTGCATTGTTACAAGGGGCTCCTTCTGTAAATATTTTCATAGGTTAAAGAAATTAAGATCCATATTGATTCGATGTCAAGAAGTTATTCTTCTAAGTTAGCACAACATTTTTTTACGACCTGCGAAGGTTGTCACTCCTTTTATCATCTTGTCTCAATTTCATCATTCGCAACTTCCACACTATTTTCATTATGTGTAAAAGTAGAGAACAATGCACTAAATTACGGGTTTCTGTGCAGCCACGTCTTGGGTAGGCGTCTTCTACTACGTGGTGCGTCCGTTGACCCACAACAACGTGTACGACGATGGGCACGTGAGCAAAATAGGCTCCTACGCCAACAAAACCAGCGTCAAAGCCAAGCTCGTGTACGACGACGGCCGCCGTGTGAACTTTGTCAACATGAACAGCAAGCAACGAGGCTTCGTGCTCTGCCAGGCCGATCCTTTTGTCACCAAGATCGATAAATTTCTGCTGGATTCTTTTCACAAAGCGTGATTTTCAAGCGTTCGTTTTGAGATTATTTTATGTTATTGAAGTTTATTACTAGATTGTCACTTAAATAAAGGTACATAGTTTAGCTTACGGTCGTTTTACTGATTTTATAATTGAAGATTTTGGAATGCAATTTCAAATGGAAAATGCTTCATTTTCACGGTTATTATGGTTGAAGATAGATTCTCCGCAACATTCAAACTTAATACTTTACATAGATAAAATACTCGAATATTGTGTCAATTGCTTGAACGTGGGATATAGATACATAGAAGTAGGTAATCAATTTTCGATGTGTAGCCTTTTTTGTCTATGCGCAACTCTATGATACAGTAATTTGAAAGGCTTGACCAACAGGCGTATCCAACATAAGTTCATTGAGAATCCTGTAGTCATGTTAATCAGTCTACATTTTGGAACATTTGGTAAAGTACACAAATAAACGTGACCATTTAATTTTACGGAAACCTTTCCTTTTTGGTCGCTCTTAATACCGATAATCTAGATTGATTGTTGAATAATTTCGTGCCAAATTCAATTATTGTACCAAATATTTGGCAGAAGTGAAGGTGATCCTTCAGAAATCTGGGCAATTCTTTCGAAGCCATTTTCGCGCTCCAACACCCCCCTCCCCGAAGAATTTATCAGCCCTAAGTCATGCTGCCACACTTCTTGTGAACTCCGGGGAAATCTCGATACCCGAGACAAGTCCATGATGAACTCAGTAGGTTGTTATGGTACGAATTTGAAAAGTTGGTCGTCCATTCGAGCGAGCCAGCCATAAATTCAGTGAGCTGTGTTGGTACCATGGGTGAACACAATTGTTCACCCATGAGTTCTAGTCTATCACCTGCTAGTTCTGCGGGCTGTGGTTTAGTTTTGGGATCCTCTGGTGCCAATAACGACAAAGTCGACTGTATAATCTCTGATTGTATGCTAATAGCTTCTGCTAAGCATGAAATAGTGACATAAGGAAGGATTGGCGTCTGTTTTAATTTAATATAGTGCGTGAGAAGATGAGATTGCTGGTACACAATTACTTACTTTTGGACATAGTACAAAGTGCGGTACCTTTCGTTGGTGCCTCTTTCATGCACAATTTATTTCGATATTCTTGGATATGAAACGACCTAGTGTGAGAAAGTGAAGGTTTCATATCGAGGGTTCGACATGCTCTGTGAACAGCATATAAAATATATCCAGGTATCTGGTAATCAGTAAAAATTCTTAGATTGTCTTTAAATTCCGAGTGCACATTTTGAAAAGAATTTAATTCAAAACTTTCGGGTAATTCATTATCGTCTTAATTCTTGCGAAATATGGAGTTAGTATAACTGTTTCTGGGCGATAGTTAAACTTTAAAAGAGGGGGGGAGGCTAAAAAGAAATTAGTGATAAAGTCGCAAATTTTAGTGGAGAAACTTAACGGAAATTTATTAATATGCGTGTTTTGATCCATAATTGTATGAATTATGTGCAAGCAGATTGATGATAACGGAATAAGCTGAACAAATAAATCTATAGGGATATGACAGAATATTCCATACAAGTTGAGCAGGAACGGACGCTGTAAATTCGTATCTACAATCTAGGCAGGCAGATGATCTAAAATCTAAGCAGCTAAAGTTAGATCTGCAATTTGGGCCGGGAATGCTAGCCAAGTGTAGATCTAAAATCTAGACAGGTGGATGTAGATCAATACTCAAGGCAGGTAGATCCAAATTGGACAGGTAGATATAAATCTACAATTTGGAAGGTACATTTAGATCTAAAATATATTAAGTGAGAATGTGCTCTAAAAATAGACTTGTCATAAAAATGATTATTTGATGATTTAAGCAATTCGTAGCAAACTATTTCAACATGAAAGCTGTAAAGCCATTTTCGTATGTAGGGAAATGTGAAAGTATATTTGAATAATCTGTAAAATAATCGTGATGATTTTAGGGACGAATTAAACTTGGGCTATTGTTAAATCAGTATCCAATTATATAGCAGCTTCCAAAAGCTTCAACCATTCAAACAAATTGAATAGAAATTGGATGTAAGCATTTGATGATTTTTCATAGAACTGTTTCAGACATGATTTAATTCAGTGTACGTAACCTCATAGAACCATTTACTATGTTCTGTTGAGTTAATAGGAATCGATCAAGTGAATGGTTGAGAACCAAGTCCTCAGAAAGCGGGCAAAAGAAGAAGAAGTGATCGAGTTGAACGGAATGTAGTCCATGCACAGGCAACGATGAGAATTGTGTCGACATTTTATGACTGCCAAAGGTTCATATTTCAACCATTTAATAACGGATACGTCCTGAACTGATATGCTCTGCGCATTCTTCTATTTTGAATAATTTACCGACTTATGACGCAATCAAGCTTCTTGCTGTGCTTGACAAAGATTAAAATTAATTCGATCTGCTTGAAGTGTAATGACCTGATGTTTAATCATTTCGGTACTATTATTTGACTGATCTTTACTCATTTGCAGGTCTAATTTTAAATTTAATGTAAGTTTTAACCAGTCAAAATCTAAACATTGTTCAGCTTGTTTAACAACAAACTAAGATATACCTGATAATATACAATCTTAACGTTTTAACTCTTAATCACGTAACATTAGCGCGGTATGAAATTCGAACATTAAAGTTATTATATGGATTTTCATTTTTTTGAGATACTTTGAAAACTTCGAAAGTTTTTGCCGAAGAAAGAAATTTAACAGAAACAAAGAATCCAGCTGAGCGCGCTTGGTCATTACTAATGGAATCTGCTTCTCCGGTCAATTGGCTCCTCGACAAGAGTTCGTCGAGAAGACTACTCTGGTGTCAACGTAAAAATTATTTCATTTGGATTTTGCAATTTTTGCTTCTGGTATGTGGTGTCTTATCGGCGTCATTACATGGCTCGAAAGGTGCCTACCGTGACTCAGTTTCCGACGTTGATCAAAAACTCAATGTAGCTGTGAAGTTTGATTCGAGAACTTTAAGGTCTGACGGTGTCATTTTGAATTCCACCATACCCAAATTTTCCGAAGTTCCTGTGGTAACCTTAACAAAAATTTCCCCGACGAGTGAAACGAGCTGGGTAAATATAAAGGAAATCATTAGATTACACACGCCATTTTCAAAGGAGAAAGATTCATATGGGGAAGAAAGTGTTAGAATACTGGAGAAATTTACAAAAACGAACAAAATTCCCGCGTTTGCTATTGAAAATGCAAATGGAAGCGTGTCTGAACTAAGTGCGATCGAAACTGAGGTCTTAAACGGACATTTATTTCCAGATTTTCATTCCACTTCAGCCATATTTCAAAAAAGCAAACCTAGGGAAAATGTAGAAGATGAAACTTGCGATGAGAAAGGATCGGAATCTCCTGTGATAGAATTTTATAACGAATCCAACTTGATTCCGCATGCATTTGAAGACGCTGAGCAGTCCTCTTCTACAGAGTTATACGGGAATGATGTTTCGATGTACTTCCAAGACAAGATCTGTGAGGATTTGGTAAATACATCTACGTACTCTGAAGTCAGTAACTATGTGGACTTGGTCGATGCTCCAACATACTCTGACGAGATCTACGAGGACTTGGTCGATGCTCCGACGAATTCCGACAAGGTCTACGATGACTTGGTCGATGCTCCGACGAACTCCGACAAGTTCTATGAGGACTTGGTCGATGCTCCGACATACTCCGACAAGATCTTTGAGGATTTCGTTGATCCCGTTACGCTCTGGACGGATAATCCTAATGAAGGCGAGTCAGACGAGGACGACATCCGTGACGCAGCTTATGCGAAGCACATGGAGTCAAAGTACGAAGTGCTTCACGGGTTTTCGTTGATATGCAAAGAAGAGAATGTTCACTGCCACCATCCTCATGTCGTGTCGATTGGTAAGTGCACTGTAGTAATCGTAGAACATATCATTCAACCTGAATTCTAGACAAGATCTGTCTAGATCTTAATTATCCAACGTTGACTCCAAGCACTCTGTGCATCCATCCAACTAAATTTTGATCAGCTTGGAAAGCTCCATAGAATAATATACAAGACAACGCACTATGCGCTGATGAAGACATTAACCTATCAAATTTCCTGAAATTACGCCATATAATTAGAGCTTCGTAATATGGAGTTTTCTACTTCCGTAACTCTTTAACCAGTTCATTTTCGTCCACAGAGGCATGTGAAGAAGTTTGCAGCCTGCTGGAAATGTGTCGCTTCATTGTCTATACGACCAGAGTTGGGCGCGACCACAGATGTCGGCTCTTCGACCTGACGCCTTTCGAAATGAACATCACGCCGCACCCTGAAGAGAGGGCCACAATTTACATGCTTCCATTAACTGGTAAATTGTTTCTTGCTATTAGGGGGACGTTTCAAATCCGATGATAATTATAATAAAACGATACTTATTCCTTTAAATTTAAGATTTTACAATTGCTATTGCTTGGTTTCTCTTTTTTTGAGTACTTCTTCGGCTTTTTTTCTGTATAATCTCAACTTCACTCCTCAATATTATAAGGTAAGCCTATAGTTTCTTCATATCTTTAACTTTCATACCACAGTGACCACATTACTGAAATTGGTTTGAAATACCAGTATATCGCCAGTACGGTATAATAATGCTAGTAGAACTCTTACTTTCGTCCAGTGTTGGAATAAAGTGGTTATGTTGCTCTGACATATTTCTCTTTATTTATCGAAAATATTGTGTTTAGCATGAGTTTCTTGCAGTTCAGCCAGGGGTTCGTAAATTCGATGGCCGTTATTATTTCATTGCCAAAGAGAAAGCCATACCGTCTCGAGCTGAGCGCGCGTGTCGCCACGTTTCCGGCTTCTACCATCTAACATTGCTGGCATTCGACCAAATCGCAGTCATTTCGCAAATTGCAAGAGAAATGATGAATACTTCGTTGCCAACTGGTGCGTAACTATTGGACATTTAAAGTGGAACGTTGTTCTAGGTAAAACATATTTTTATCATTTATCTATCAGTGATCACTTTTTTAATTTGATTTAAAGACATGATTATTAATTTGATTTTCATTTACTTAAACAACTCGTTGAAATAATTATCTATTTTGTAGCTAGTCGTTAAATTACATTCAGTTTTAGTACTATAACAATTTTAAATGGTCGTTATTGACCGTTAAAATGTTTCATTTTCTAAAGATGACGCTGTGATCATGGCGTTAATCGTGGGGCACAAACCGCTTTCTGATACTTTCTCGAACCTCGCTCGTCGTGTCTCACGCAAACTTAAGTTCGACGCTAAATTGCGCGCCTTGAACAACAAGTTCATTCATGTGGCGTATTCGGGCTCTACGTTCAGCAATGCCCGACATTGGAGAAAGTACCAAATTTTGTGTCAGGGAGACCCCTTCAATTTGAGGGGCGAGGCATCTTTCTATCTAAACCTCCAGAATTGGTTCAAAGACAGCGCGCTCAACAGGCACCTGCAAGTCCCCTATCCAGAAAGTCCTTTTGGTCTTGAGGCTGGACCGAACGGTGACCAACCTGCGTCTTCCAAGGAAAGCTTCAAAAGCGAATCAAAATCTGCTTTTGTCAATGTATCAGTCGACCAGATATCGTCATTGCAAACAGGAAATTCCATGGGTCATATAATTACTGATGTTGATTCCCTTGAAGGAAATTGTCAAACTCAGAATGAAATTACCATAGTCGAGTTCAACCACTCATCTGAAGACGCTTGGAAGATAAAGAAGACTGATGAGGGAGATAATGACGGTGTTGAAATCAAAGATAGTGACGGTGTTGAATCTAAAGATGGTGACGGTGTTGAATCTAAAGATGGTGACGGTGTTGAATCTAAAGATGGTGACGGTGTTGAATCTAAAGATGGTGACGGTGTTGAAGCTAAAGATGGTGACGGTGTTGAAGCTAAAGATGGTGACGGTGTTGAAGCTGAAGATGGTGACGGTGTTGAAGCTGAAGATGGTGACGGTGTTGGATTCAAAGATGGTGTGGAGCATGCGAGAGCTTCTAGCAATGCAGTAGGACGATCGCTTGATGCTTCTATTTATCATTTGTTGAATTTATTGAAATTTATTCTTATCTTTATCAACTGCTTCTTATGTTTCCAAATTAATATGAATAATTTCCACATTCAAAATTAAATTATATATAGGTTTGTTATGACGATATAATTTTAGATACCATATTGGAAAATACTAATTTCTTGATGCATGAATGCCACAATTTTTTTACTATTTTAACTAAATTTCAATTTTCAGGGTCACAGGAATATTTAAATTGGTCAGTAGTAACACGAGCTTTTTCGTAGTCAAATTATGAATCTTCCAAGTAAACTGTTAAATAGTTTGAGTTTTTACTGGGGATGCCCGAGACTAATTTTACATTCTCTAAACTTGGCGCTATAATTTTACGAGGTTTCACAGGTTTATTTTTTAATTGACCTATTGATTAAAGGCATTTATTAGCCTATGTTGAATACTTTTTATACATGTTAATACCTGATGATTCTAATGCATCTAACTTAAAGACTTTTTGCTGTAAATTTTATAAATAGTCTTCACCGTTATGAAGCTTGAATTTTAAGATTGATTAGGCTTCTAAAATCAAATGGGAATTGTTCGAAACCATTCCGGAAATAAAAAATTATTCAAGTGGACATTTTTATTATTCCTATTGGCTTGGAAAACCTCAAGCGCTGACGGAGCTGAGAACTCGTCTTGCTTTGATGTTACAGTCCCTCAGCTACAACCTCACACTTGATGCTACGTGCGATTCAAATCGTGCACATTTTGACATTATAGCAATTACAACTTGATTTTATATCACCTTTTCTTCATTATGAGGGACTGACTGCCTGCCTGGAGTTAGATCCTCAATTAACTCGATCAGGCGGTCATTAAATGAGCCCATGTCGAAGTGAGAACCATCAGAAACTTTGCGTGAAATCAGCAACAGGAAATGTGGTAATTTCTATGTAACCAAGTGCTTCATGGTGCATGTGTAAGAGTTTAAAAATAAGAAGTTGCTCAATCAAATTTTTGTGTGCCTGTTACGATGATGCTTAGATCACGAATTTGAAGTCAACTTTGCAATGGCTGCTGTGTTCGGGTGCAGAGCCTCGTAAACATTTGGTACAATACTTCCTCCATACTCAATTTAGTAGAAAAAAACAATTGTGTTCTATGAAGTTTTGTAGTGAATTGCAGTCGGTATTGCTCGGATACCGCTGCTCGAGGCCTCGTATGCGCAAATGTGTTGAAGTAGGAGAGGAACGTGAAGCCTCTATGTTCAAATTCGCGTCGTGCATTTCTTAGTTGATTTATGGACAGTTCATTATTTCGTCTCACCGCGTCAAACTCATTAGCTGTGAACCGTTTAAGCTCAGCTATGGCGCTGAAAAGATCATGTAAGAAGGAATGATAATTTATTTGATTATTGTGAGTTGGAACCTTCGGAGACTTTTGTTTATCCCTCGGAACCCTTATTTATTTCATATTATTTTGATTTCATCGCTGAGTTCATAGCGTATTCTTGTCGAAAGCGGGGTAGCTAGTGTAAATGGTCGACTCGATAGGAGACTGAATCGTTGACAAGAGGTATACCAAGCATCACGCGGGTCGTTGACAGGATACACGTGACACTCAACGCATATTACATATTCCGTTCAGAACTTAAGGCAGTGGTTCCCAAAGTGGGCAATATCGCCCCCTAGGGGCGGTGGAAAAATTTTGGGGGGCGGTAAGGAAGAAGAGGGCGGTAGGGGGGCGATAGGGGGGGCGGCATTCCGAAGTCGCAGTCAGAAGTTTGAACGTTTGTTTGACGATTTGTACACAATACGTGCAGCATATGACTCCCAGCGATGGCTTTTTTTTACCCAGATCTGTTTTTTCAACCTCTCTTGGGTTTACGTCTCGGACAAATTAACGGCCGGACTCGCGGTCGGTCTCACGACCAATTTTCAAATTCAACGATCAAGGAATATCTCTCAAACTAATGAACGTAACACGATGAAACTTGGTACACGTATTCATTAGGAGCTAACTTTAATGTTTAGCTCGTCAAAATTTTTTGAATTTTGCCTTCATTTGTTTTTGCCATAGTTGTATGGCAACACGGGCCGAAATTCACAGTGATCAAGGAATTTCTTCCAAACTACTGAACAGATTCGAACGAAATTTTAAATTTACAGTCCTAACTACCGAACGGTGATGTTCAGCTCGTGAAAATTTTTTCGATTGTGCCTTCATTAGCGAGTTTTTTGTCATTTCACCTTCATTCGTGATTTAAACAGCAATACGTGTCTGAATTCGCAGTAAGCAAGAAATTTCTTTCAAACTACTGAACAAATTTTAACGAAACTTCGTATTTAAATACCTAACCTGAGCAACGGTTATGTTTAGCTCGTTACAATTTTTTCGATTTTACCTTCGTTTGCGAGTTATTCGGCTATATGTACTGTATATATACGTAAACGCCTCTTGGTTAAACCAGCCGGTAGAAATGCTGGTCGTTTCTCCTATATCTGTATAACTCGCAAACGAAAGCAAAATAGAAAAATTGTCACGAGCTAAACATCACCGTTGGGAGGTTAGGTATTTTCACACAAAGTTTCGTTGAAATCTGTTCAGTAGTTCAGAAAAGATTTTTTGATCGCCGCGAATTCAAGAGACAAATTACCCGGCGGAATTACCCCTTATATATTCGGCCCGGCGATACGGGCCGAATATAAGGATGTGTGAAATCAAGAATGACGGTGAAATGAAAAAAAACTCGCAAACGAAGGTAAAATAAAAAAATTTTATAAGCTAAAAAATCACCGTTTGGTAGTTAAGAATGAATATTCAAAACTTCGTTCAAAGCTGTTCAGTAGTTTGGAATAAATTCTTTGATCACTGCGAATTTCGGCACGTATCGCAATATAACTTACGAATGAAAGAGAAATTTAAAAAAATTTTATGTGCTAAACATCACCGTTAGGTTGTGATGAATAAATGTTCAAAGTTTCACAGAACTGCGTTCATTAGTTTGGTAGATATTACTTGATAATTGAATTTGGTGATTGGTCGTGAGACCAGCCACGAGTCCGGCCGTAAATTTGCCCGAGACGTCCTAGGTTTCTAGTGCTGAAACAGTTAAAACAGCATAAAAACATATTGGTTCACTAAATGGGGTTCTATTTGTGAAATATACATTTGTGTTTAACCTTTATCTTTTAAAATTACAGCGTACTAAATTTCAAGAAAGAGGCGTATATGTTTTTATATACGTCTGTGTGGGGCGCTAGAAATTCACTAGGGCGCCAAAGGGGGCGCCAGCCTGAAAATTTTTGGGAACAACTGACTTAAGCTATGGCAATCGCGGTCAGCCACTGACTATTTATCTTTTCTGCTATAATTTATTCAATTTAACCTATCACCTGGTAAACTTCCTGTACGACGACTTTTACCACAGCAACTTCCATGTTAACAATTCCCACCACGTCAAACCTTCACCACGTCAACCCTCACCACGTCAAACCTTCACCACGTCAAAACTTCACCACGTTAAACCTTCACCACGTCAAACCTTCACCACGTCAAATCTCACCACGTTAAACCTCCACCACGTCAAACCTTCACCACGTTAAACCTTCACCACGTCAAACCTTCACCACGTCAAACCTTCACCACGTCAAACCTTCACCACGTCAAATCTTCACCACGTCAAACCTTCACCACGTCAAACCTTCACCACGTCAAACCTTCACTACGTCAGTTCTCTAGTTTACCCTCTCTTATTTCGGTGTTGGGCCTTATTTTATAATAATTGTTTAAATACTTAAAAATATCTATGCACTAACTCGAATCTGATTTTACTGATCGCTCTACACAATACAATATTCTTCGCTGTGGAGTACTTATCTCTTCTATCAAAGTTAAAATTACAGTGGAAAGACAGACGCTGAAAATGCAGCTCAATCAGCAGTAAAAATAAATAAAGAGCTCAATTAGCATTCCTGAGCTTTGCGCTCGAAACTTTATTGAATATTTGATCATCGGCCGTTCAACATTCGCGGTTTTGTGAAAAGTGCAAGTGTCATTAAAACCACATCGATTTCAGAGAGTGGTTTAATTTTTTACAGCTGAGGATAGAGTCCTTAAATTGGATCTAAAACAACCAATAATCAAATTTTATTAGCACAGGCTATTTGCAAAATTTCCAAACACTTTGCTCAACCCCAAGAATAGATGTATAGGTTCAGATCGTCTTCGCTTAAAAATTAACTTTGTTACCAGCCTGGTGTCACAAGATCTATAGGAGTTGGCTAAGCACAAGCCACAAACTTATTGCAAAGTTCTTACTTGCTCTAGGTGAGTTGATGGTACATGCTTCTTATTGTTTATAGGAGTTTAGTGGGTGTTCTGTATCGTTAGGTTAGATTGTGGCTGAGAACATTCGTTCGGTTTGGTCGGTGGAGGATATTTTAAAAGCTTGCCTCATCTTTACCAAGTAAGACGTATATTGCAAAATCAAATGAGCATTACATGCACCACTGCACCTACCAGAAAAATTCGTGCGTTTAGTGTGTCTATTCTACATCATTGGTGTAGTGTTTTCGCAGTGAGTTCTATGTTAAATGAAAATAAAATTCAAACTAAATTTTAGGATTATTATAATTTTTAACATTTTTTCATTATGTGGTGTCATAATCGGTGTTCTTTGTTAGAATCTAAAACCTGAATTATAATTCAGCGCGTATGCTTGACTGCATACAATCGTAAACTTTCCATGGTACTGCAATTTTTATTGAAGTATTTACGGAATTTTCGGATGTTGGAGATTTAACTGCGATTCTGTTGCAGTCGGGAAAGTTGAATATATCCACGGTAACGAGAACACAGGTAGACAAATTTGGTAGCGGCTACAGGATAAACTAAGTGAAAATGCCCCCTCGAAATTTCCCGTTCCATCAAAAATGGCGTTTGACCAAACCTCGAAGTATTTGTCGGAGCTTTCGTGTTCAAATATTTAACAATTTTAAAATCTGCTTCTAAAACATCATTAATTAATTTACGTTTCAAAAATAGACAATTATTGCCCTTGACAGCAGACGTGACGACAACAATAATAATGTCAGTCTAAGCGTGATATCCATACTAAATTTGTCAGACAGAAATGAACATTGTGTATCGTTTGAAAATAATTTTTTGGCCAATGATGGCTGGTACTTTCCTCTATAATGGTTAATCTTTTAGAATAGCTCTCTATGTCAATAGATAGAATGTGAAAGGTTTTCGCGTTTTAGTCAAGGAAATGATTAATAAAGCAAATAAATTAGCTGCTATAGATTACACAAATTATTTGCTTAATGAAGGATGAGACAATTATTTTTCATTGAAGTGTCCAACTCATTGGAGGGTAAACATCCTGTTATTCTGCTGGGCTTAAGATTCGATTCTCAACGATAAAGGTTAATTTAATAAACTAGAACAAAAGAAATGTAACCCCCTTGGTAAGATTGCCTACCATGATAGCCGAAAATATAAATTTTAATTAGAAAATTTTCTCGTCTCGAGATATTTTTTTCGCATATGATAGTTCGTAGCCAATTTCGTTGCAAATTTTCTCAACTTTATTGCTTTATTCTACTTATTTGCATGTAAATGTTTTCGCAACTGGAATGAATGAGTTTTCATCGAATTATTAGACTCTTTTTCACACGGTTTTAATTTTTTAAATATATTTTACTTATCTTTTTAGTGAGGACTTAAAAACGACGACGCAGAAATGCTGACAGTTTTAGTAGTGTTATCTTATCTACCTCTTGTAATAATTTTAATGGGCAAATTGATGCCTCTGCAAATTGTCTCAACCAAATTTTTAAAATTTCTGACACGAAGTCTCTTGCTGTTCCTGCTTTGCCTTATTCTACATCCATTCACTCCATCTTCGTATGATGAGTTAGTTACACTCAATGTCTCTCTAGGCTACGTCGAGAGTGAGAATTTTGATATAATAAAAAGCAGAAGCATTTCGTCCAAATTTGCTTCTATCATTACTATGTCATCAACGGGTAAGAAATTATGGTATGAGGTATGTTAACTATATATGTAGTTTTTCAGTTCAAATTTGTTTCGATTCACATTATATTTGATAACCGAAAATAAAGCCTGTTATAGGTACAGAGTCTATTAATAATGGAATTAACCGAATTGAAATTCCTTGGATTCACATTAATCAACTCTACCCTTATTAATGTCACAATAATTTATATTATATTAAACAATGAAGGGTCAATACTCTAGTATTTTATTTTTTCCATTTATAATTCTAAGCATAACCTACAAAATTTAAAATTACCTTCGAGAAAACAAACTTTAATATTTAAATGTGTACATCTTCTTGAATCTCCATTTTTTAGAGAAATGCGTCAACGACTGCAACTTGAACGCACAGTGCAGCGCGGCGCTGGCGACCAGCGACAGACACCTCTACTACCGCTGCCTGCACTTCGAACATCCACCACGCCAACTCAATGTACTTCCCATCTACCATGAGCAGTCGGTCATGTACTTCAAGAAATCTAAAGGTGCGTTTTTCACTTTCTTCCAACGCAATAGATCCGCCAATTTCAATCAATAGAGCGAGAAAAAATGTTCCAAATGCGATTCTTTTGTTTCAAATATTGGTTCTTTTCCACCGTTTGGTTAAACAATTGTTTCTTTTCGATTAGTAATAGTGTAAGTCGGAATGTTAGTCAGTTCACCAGGCTGGAATGTGGCTATGTATGAATTAATTTTTATCGTGACTGAGAACATCACCCGCCGAGCTTCGTTTGACAAGTTTGTCATGATATTGCTATTGGCATCCAAGACAGACTAGTATTAATTCGTTTATATAGAGTTAACAAATAAATCAAAAGCTTTTGCCCTACAATACTGAACTCAGATTTATTTGTCACTACATTCAATGCAAGAATATGATAAATTATTTGTATGAAACTTTTCCGCCGAATCCTCGGGCAGCCGGTGCAGGCATTTCAGCAGATGGACTTTATTATTTCCTAAGTCCCAAGACGATGCATTACAGCGAGGCGGTCCAATTCTGCCAGAGTCACCTGGACTTGTACCAGCTCGCGCAGCAGCGCATTGACGTTAACCTCTGGCCTGTCATCGGCCAGTACATGAAGCGACTTATCGAAGACAAAAATGGTTGGTCACTTCTATATTGATACTTTTTGCCTGACAGGCGAAAATAAACTAATTTTGTGTCTGTACAAGCGTGATTTTTTCCATTTCCAAACTGAAATCGGTGATAATTATAATTTTATATTGGCATTGTCAAATAATTAAAATATTACTGACATGTAATTAATCGTTCAGATTTAGGTACAGGAATTTTTTTCGACTTCTTCGACGTCGAATACAGAGGCCAGAGAGTCCGTAAAATCTACGGGAGGTTCGCGAAGATGTTCACAAATCCATGCTCTGGCCGACAGCTCGCTCGATTTGGTCTTCTGTACAAAGCCTTCAACCGCGTGTTACCTATCGACGATTCTTCAGTAAAAGCTTACGCCTTGTGTCAAGGAGATATTCTTAACTTGGGTGGAAACAAGTACGAGATCGAGGCTACTCCAAAGGATCGAGGATTGACCAGAATTTGGAGCGAGGAAAATGGATGCGTAGAGATGTTGGACCCAAGAGATGTGATGGACACTGAAGTAGAAGATGACTACATTGGAGAAGAAGATGCTGGAGAACTGGAACTGTTTGATGAAGAATTCCAGCCTCAATATGATAAATGAATAGTGTTGAACGACTCCTATCTTTGGTAGAAGTTGTTTTCCAATTACAATTGATTATTCAAGAGCCGACAAAACAAAGCGATTAAAATGAATTTATCGTACTTTTAATAAGTTTGAATTTGATTAATGTTCCTAAACTTACTTTTTCAAAACGCTTTGGAAGGATTTCATCATGTCAGTACTTGGACCTAGTCGACCCTGAACGTTTACTGTCTTCAATGATTTCCGTTATGACAATCAATTTTTGCTCAGGTGATAAAAAAATTCTGCAATTTTCACAGTTTTTATCTAAAAATAATGGCTAGACTTTTTGCCCAGTTTTTTATTACAATCACGACTGCAAGCCAGTGAACCGCAAACAGTGACCTAATCACTCCCACGCATGATCAATCAGGAATAAAAAAAGTAAAACGTTTTCCAGACTGCGAAATGACCAGCGATCCGCAGGGAAGCAAACACGACTGGAAATTGAAAGAAGAAACTGCTCCTCGTTAGGCATGACCTAATCTGGTCTAATGCCTGAAACAATATTCCGTTGAATGGCTTTGTTGCAGGCATGAAAAGGCCTGGTCAAAGTTAATCAATTCCATGTATATCTTTCTTCTTTCATTGTGTACGGTTTGCTAGGGGAGATGAACGCTCCTCCGGACCCACGTTCAAAGTTTAGCTAAAACATTTTCATCTCACTGTCAACTTAGGAAATACCCTAACAAAATTTAGAGTCGCCCCAGCGTCTGGTAATCCAAATCAGAAGCTGCCGCGACTGTAAATTTTCACTGGGTATAGTAAATAACAGGTTTGGAACTTCATTGTATATAATTCTTCTTGGAACTTTCTATGCTGAATTTCTTTTTCTACATTTTTGGGTGCTTTTGCTTCAATCAATACTATGCAATGCACTAGATTTTTTTACATTTTGTTTTTATGTTAAGAAAGTCTTTGCCGAAAATATGACACCTTTTCAGGTCCCGGTGACCTTGGGTATAATTTAAATCATCTTTGGACAGCTTTCTGCAAGTTGTTAGGCATATTTTTGCCTAATGTGGATAGACTTTTATACAAGGTGTATTGACCAATACATTACATAGATTTAGTAATCGAAAATTGACGGAGTTTGTTGTGTATTTGAGTTGTAAATACAATAACTGAGGCATGAGTAGGAAAGCTCGAAATCGTCCCGGGCGGACAAAGACAGTTCTCGGCGTCGTGGGATTCGTGATTGCCTTGTTCTCGTACCTGATGCTGCAGCAGGATACTGAAGTAGAGCCTGTTGCAGGATTGCGTCAGAACTATGATGGATATTCTAACTATAGCTTGCCACTTCACTTCGCTTACAAGAAATATAACACTACAAAAGGTGAGATCAATTGCACTTTGAATTTTCTTGATTTGGCAATTCAGATGAAACCTGCGATATAACGTGATATATTTAAAATGCATGGGATTGCTTTTAAATTCATATTCAAATACAAATCGCCTGATAACTTTTTTAACAGATTGGAGACTAAGATTGTGCTGCATTTAAATATATGGGCAATACAAATTTCAAATAAAAAGCTTGCAGGAGATTTTGTAGTCCAGATAATCTGTTGCTTTAGGAGTTTTAAACAAGCAAATGCAAACATGTGTTCAGTAGAAACTGTGGTCGAAATTAATTATTTCTGAATTTTTTAAGGTACAATGTACACACATTGGCGGTGTTGCCGCGATTGACTTGAACGATTTGCGCCACTGCAAGCGTATGCTTTTTGGTTTTATTATATTATTTTAATGCTGATCAGCAGTGCGCATGAACCAACCTAAAATTAACTTTATGCTGAACGTTTCGTTCCTTTAAATTAGAACATTTAATTAATCCAGGTCAGTACTTGAGTAATCGCATTCAGCTAATGTTCTACTTCTACAATAAGAATTAATCGACGAACCTTAATTTGCTGCAGATATGAATGAACTTTGCAATATTACTATTAATTTTTTATTATTAACTCGAGTTGCAGTGTCAACATCCGAATTAGAATTTTCTTGTCGGCTGATATGCTGCAGCTACATATTTATGGCTTAGTTAAGAATGTATTAACCTCATATCGTAAGTAGTACTTTAAAATTTTACTGGTGCCGTTCGCCTGGTATCTTTTTATTAATTATGATATGTGTTCTATTTGGTTCTTGAAGTGTTGTGTGGAGCCGAGTGTACGTCGACCGACAGTTGCAACGCATTCACCTACAAGATGAATGCCAGCGTAAGTTGTCGCCTCTACCGACAACCTCCCACCGTCTGGGGCTACCAGGCCTCCGAGGATCCCACGGCAGATGTCTTCTTTAAGAAATATTTGTGTGAGTAGTGCATGGGGGAGTGGGAGTAGTTCCTATAGGAGCTAGGCCGACTGGAGTTGTTGTGGAGTTGATAAGGGTGTTTTTTCAGATACTTGTTCCTTTAATTCTAGAAATCTACTAAAAAATTTCGGTACAAAAATATTCGTGCTTTTCGGGTACAAATAATGTGAACTCGAGATAATATTGCTGATTTTGAGAGAGTTGTAAATGTGCAATTATGCTTATGCTCTAACTCGTGTAGAGCTACGTAGGACTTTCAAACAGGGCAGTTTCGAAGATCACGTATCCATAGACACTTATGACGTTTATATAGATTATGCCATCTGGGACTCGTTTAAATACCGTTTTATTATCTTCAGTTGGGCGTGCAAAGAGGACGCTGAATGGCAGATATTACTACATCGGGCAAAAATTAATGACTGTGAAAGAAGCAGCTAATCACTGCGAGACTCTGCCTGGGGGGATCTTTCAGCTTTCAGTGAATAGCGAAGAAACAGAACGACTCGGGTTATACAAGATCATGTACACCGTGCAGAAGCTGACCATCAAGGATGGTCACCGTGAGTAGCTTGCTCTTGTCTTTCCTAGCTTTCTTTGCTAATATTAAAGACATCATTAATGGCATCATAGTAATGGCAGCGAATAAATGTGCGTTTTTCTTCAAATTAAGAGTATATTTAGAGTTGAACTCGAACTCATTCAGGACAGAAATTTTTCCCAAGACTTTTGTTCTATAATATTTTCAAGAATTTCATATCCCTGAAAATCCGCATCAAAATTTTCACACGTAATCTCACATTTATTATACACTTTTCTCTGTCCCTCAGTTGATCAAACCCCATTCAAGTTATTCATCAAAACCGTCGCACAGCCTTCACAAATACCTAAAACTATAGCCTCTGAAATAGAGAAATACGATTTATTATGGAAGACTAACTTAGTCAAGTTGTACTTAACTCATAATGAGACTATCGCTGCGACAGATTTAAAGTCGCCTGAGATGGGATATCCCGTCTGTGAGGCTGACCCTCTGAACATCAACATAAATTTGAGGTTGGCGGTCAATAAATTCCCCGATTTCGATGTTGATCTTGACATCAGAGATATTGTTTATGAATAATATTAAAGTGCAGTGCAAGACTTGACTGATGAATAAGTGATGACTTTGGCTGTGACTAAGTTGCCAAGTTTTGTCTTGGTAATGAAGTTTGACTTTATTCAGAATACGTCATGAATGACATAATTGCTTTTTACTTCGTGTAGTGGGATAATTTAGTAATAATTTTAAATATTTTAATTGGTGCTCTCAATCATTTAAGACAAATTTAAAGGAATGCTGTACGTTTGTAAAATTTCAAAATTGACTAATTCTGAAACGGAAGGTTTAATCTGCTTCTGTGATATGTTTTTGATTTTTCCTTCACTTGTATATGTTTTTTACTGCAGATCTTAGGTCGCATTTTATCGTCGGTGCTGATATCATAAGTTTCTAACTATTTTCTGGTAAATATTTTCTTACATTTATTAATTGGCGGTCTATGCGATGGTATGCGGCTAATTTAAAAGCACGATTTTACTGATACCATAACGGTACTACAGGCAATATTTTATTGAACAAAATGCGGAGAATCGAACATAATCTCTCTTAGATATGTGAAAATATTGCAAGGGGGCAACTCTTCCTGTTGGTTTCGCGAAAAAGTGTCGCTTCGTAATGAAGAAATAAAATTTTGTCCGTAATACCCGGAAATGTTGATGCCAATATCTGTTCTAATGGAACAATTACTATACTGCCAACAAATTTCATTCGCATAAATTTCATTGCACAAAAAATTTAATGTTGATGTACCATTGAACGAAACTCGTTAGATTCCTCTCGGTTCCATTACAATAGCCAACAATAGGAAGAGCTTGCTAGGGGACTAGAGTGATCCTCCAGCCCTGAACTTAATTTCTATCATATGTTACAACAATCCAATCGAAACTCTAGATTTATCGCAGCATCAACGCTTGGATAATATTTGATCAACATACGATTGTAATTTGAAAGATCTGTTATGAATTCTTCTTTTCTCGACTTCTTTATGAATTCTCGACTTCTGTATGCGCAAATATCTCGTTGAGAAACGTTCATTGGGCTGTCTCACTACGGACTCGTAAGAAGTCATTGCATTTCTCATTGCCCTCCCAACAGCGACTACAGCATCTTACTGCAGGTTTCAGTTGTAGGGTTAAGTTGTGTAGGCAGGTTGGTTAAGTTGTGTAGGCAGGTTGGTTAAGTTGTGTAGGCTAGTTGGTTAAGTTGTGTAGGCTAGTTGGTTAAGTTGTGTAGGCAGGTTAGTTGTTGCAACCAATGTATATGTATATGTATATATTTTACACGAATGATTCTCTTCGATGATGCTCGTAAAAGTATTTATTTCTGCCTTCTAAAAAAATTCATCGTTTAAATGAACATGTCGGGCTTCAGCTGATGCTGTGCTCAGACTTAATTTCTTAGTTTTACAATTAAACCCAACTTTCCAGTTTTCAGGTCCGATTTCATTTCGTAAAATTTTATCGTTAGCACAATATTTTGCACATTTTTTAATTTATTTTAAGGTAAACAGCTGTTATTGCAGCAGAAGATTACCTTGTATACCGGATATTGTAATTTTTTAGCTTGCAAGATCCCGTTTATCTTTCGTTTAGTTTGATAGTGAAGTCTATCTCGTTTCGCTCGATAAAGCTTTTAATTGAGTTTGCCAAACTTATAACAGAAAAAAATTGTTATAAGTTAGCAACGAGCAATTTAGTTTTAGTAGCGATGCCAGTGCAAGTGAATGGACTGCGGGCTCCTCCAGATAATCGGAATGGTTTTCGATTGAGAAGATTCATGATACTACTCAATATCTGGTTCTTTTTCGGCGTAAATGCGCCCGCACTGTACATAAAAATCGTCAAATCTGAATTCTGGAAAAGTTTCGACGTTTTCGAATCCGTTTGGAGTTTCCCTGGGCTTAACTTACCTCCTCAATTCGCGTTCCGCATGTCCAACGCAAGCCGAGGTGAGCATGCAAAATTGGTTGGAGTTTTGAAATTTTTAAATGCGGAATTATTAATTTAAGGTTAAATTTTTTATATTCTTTAAAATTAGTCGCCTGATGTGTTGAGGCCGATGTGCTTTTGCACAACAAAAATTAGATTTTTCTATCTTCTTCGCAAGTGTGATACATTTTGATTTTCGAAATTGTCCAATTTAAGTTAATGCACACATGCCATCTATCTTCTTTCTATATGTTTTTGTATATGTTTTGTAAAGGATTTATATAGAATTTTCAATATTATTGTGAAATTTTCCAGAATTGTGCCTTAGAGAGTGTCATTGGCTGGACGACTGCAGAGCGGTGACGTACAAGGAAGCATTTAACAGCAGCTGCCGCCACTACAGACACACACCCGCTCACTGGGAGTACTCGGCCCACACTGACCGCAATGCGGTGGTCTACCTCAAGAAATCACTATGTAAACTCCAGATTTACTAGATAGTTTTCACAAATAGGGATTGAATAAATACCACTTTCCACTTTGACATAATCAATATGGATTGACAACGTTTAAAAAGATGTCTCCTACCGTAGAGTTCCATGACGTTTGCTTAATACTATGTCGTGATATATTTTTAAGGGCGAAAATTCATCATAATATTTCATTTATTTTAAATAAAAAATTCTTTTTGGGAGCGAATTTTCAACAATTTACTATCTGAAAGTGAACCAAACTTCCGATCAATTGCGATGAATTTTCGATAAAAAATTTCTTGTGCAATTTTCTTCAGTCGGCACCGAATTTTGCTTTATATGCAAAAATTCTAAAATGGAACAATGTTGAACTTTCAGTTCACGCCAACGCCACTATGAAGGGTAGAAAATTCTACCAGTTAAGCAGTATCGCGATGAATTTGACGGAAGCTGTGGCATTCTGCGACCAGTTATCGACCGAGAGAATGTCGCACGTCGCCGCCACGTACGAGCGTCCGCCCAAGCCTTCCTTCAAAGGCATGCTCGAGGAGCGCTACCAGCTCGCCTCCGAAGCCAGCAGGCTCCGTGAGAAAAGTGAGTAAGAACTTATTTTATTGAGTGTATGTATGCAATGCAGAGAAAATTTTATTATTATTTTACACCTCTATGAATTAGCTGAATGAAGAAAAGAGGCCGCATACCAGTCTAAAACAGAAATCAGATATTAAGCACCGCTTATTAATGAACCAGTGGCTCCGCACCCACTTGAACTAAATTTTTGTGCACTTCAAAGATATTGGAAGCGTGAAGCACTGGTCTGATATCTGGTAGTGTGAAGTACTGGTCTAGTAACTAGTAGTGTGAAGTACTGGTCTAGTAGCTGGGAATGTGAAGTACTGGTCTAGTAGCTGGTAGTGTGAAGTACTGGTCTAGTAGCTGGTAGTGTGAAGTACTGGTCTAGTAGCTGGTAGTGTGAAGTACTGGTGTAGTAGCTGGTAGTGTGAAGTACTGATCTAGTAGCTGGTAGTGTGAAGTACTGATCTAGTAGTTGGTAGTGTGAAGTACTGATCTAGTAGCTGGTAGTGTGAAGTACTGATCTAGTAGCTGGTAGTGTGAAGTACTGGTCTTGTAACTGGTAGTGTGATTTCTAAACGTTGAAAAGTGCTGAGAATTTCTTAAAAAAGAGAAAAATTCAATTTGATCTTTACGTATATAATATTTTTCTACAGATAATGAAAATTTTACTGTAAGAATAGAATACACGAGCATCAACGGAATTGTGATGTCATTATTAGACATTCATTAATGTTTAATGCAAAGTTATTTTTTTAATCAGCTTTCTTTGAATAAATGTTGATTTTGACAATCGAGTCTATAGTTTTTTCTTGGCTTTTCGTTTAACGAACCTGTGATTAATGGAGGTCACAGACTCAGCGCAAGGTAAGTTATTCCTCTGATGTGATTTTAACAATAATTTAATCTTGATATTTTCTGAACCATACGTTGCCCAGTATAGATTATTCTGGAAATTTGAAGATTCAGTCATCCCGATTCGCGTTGTTTCCCAACCTTTTACTGTCTACCTTGTCATGTCGAATCCAACCAACCCGAATCCCGAAACCAACATTCAACCTTGAAGTAATGTTATCATCCCATTCAACCCACCTTCAACCTATAATTTATATTAACTCCTACCTCGAACTTTGAAGGAAATTTGAATGGTACAATTTCTGAACAAAATTCTATTCATAAACTTTCGAAAATGAATATTTATCACAGTCCCCACAGGTAATGCCACAGGTTCCACCTCTAGAAATAAAATTTCACAATGGGATGACACACTCCGACACGATACGTAATCGAAACTTTTATTTTCAGCGCCGTACATCAAACGTCAATATTAATTTTCACAAATAACTACTATATTTGAATAAACTCTCATCGAACCCCTGAAATGACAAAGAACAGATGCAGGCGAGAATCATTCTCATCTATTGTATCTCGGACTACATGACATTTCTGTTCCGATCAATTCGCGGGTGGACTTCGCAGGCAAATTTTTACCCCGAAGCGAAGCTGGGACGGAAGGATGATATGGTCGCCGATAATTCGATGATACAGCGCGCTTATAATTGGATGATGCTGACCACCGAGCAATGTTTTCTCGAGCCGTGCTAATAATGTCGCGAATTTTGATCCGAGCCCGAAACTTGACAGTCGAGTTGGCATGCATAATTTAACTCGTTTACTGACAAGAGGCTCCGATGAAACTAATGTATTTTTTTATTTTGTATTTGGCGTAATTAATTATTGAGGATATTTTCTATGATGATTGCTGATTGAAATTTTTCTTTTTTTAGGCTCAAAATCTTCGCATGGCATCTTTTACCAGACGATAACGAACCTCTCCAAACTTGAGTCGCAAGACAACGGGCCTGTCAGACTAAGATCGTCTTCGTACGTGAGAACGTATCACATCTATGACGGTCATCACAAAGTTGCGCTGCTTAATTCGAGTGCGAAGGGCTTCGCCTTCTGTGAATATAATCCACTGATAGTAGACGAGGTTTCAGTTTTGGCTTTCACAGGTTACCCTGCATTTGATGTTGATATCGACTTACGAGAAATTGTTTATTCGTGGAACTAGAATAAAATTTACAAAGGCGCCGGCATCAAGCTAGATTGCACGAAACTTTGACACGCATTGGTTTTAAACGATAGACCATAGACCCTTATAAGTTATCCTTATCTCGCAAGTTTTGCAAGCTCAAATGCAGAAAACCCATTTCTTAAAATACGATTGAAATTGCGCCAAAAGTACGTTAATTCAGCCATTGTTTGAAATCCGGAATTCAACGGAAAATCGTTAGTTGTTGTTGACTCTAAGTTGGAGCTGCAATGTTGTTTCTTGTGTTTTATCTTGTTTCATTTTAGGCGAACGCGAAGTTTGATGGTTTTACAGGAATATAAGTTAACTTGATTGTTTTAGAAAATATACGTCGGCTTCTGGCCAAGTGTTCACTTCTTTTTTAACTTACCTTTCATGCTGCGCAATACACTTATTATTTATAGCCAATGACACGATTAATGTGCGTTTTAAAGACGAATCGTATCGACAAGCATAGGAGGAAGATTCTTATGGTCGCTTAACACGATGAAAGCAGCACGACTCACTAGCGCTGTCAGATGGCCTAAAAAAACAAGTCCTAGGATTATAGGAGGATTATGATTTGTATAGGTATCGAAAAAGTAGGATCCTTTGCTATTCGTATCAAGCTATTCGTATCAAGCACGTCTAAGTCACGACATGTGCTGGCTTCATTTTAGGTATTTTTTTCCAATGATATTCGTACCATTGCCTTTTGCACGTTTTGAGAAGAGATATTGATGTGATAAAACATCCTTTTGTTATTTTTTTATGTTTTTCATCTTTATTCCTGCCATCATTATTTCTCATCCCTATCATTCAGGCAAGAAATTTGTAGATTCCGGTGCTAAAATTAAATTTTCCCGTTTTCCGTAATTTAAAATTTAATGGAGTAGTCCTGCCATCAGAAATTTTGTCGTAAACGCAATTGAAAATAACTAAATCGCGGAATTGGTCCGGAAAAAGCAAACAACCTAACTGGGGGTCCCGCTGCGCACAACGTGTTGAAGGTGATATACTACTCGCAATTAACAAAGGTTTGTACTCACCACTGTAGTATTGCACCCACCACTGTAGTATTGTACTCACCACTGTAGTATTGCACCCACCACTGTAGTATTGTACTCACCACTGTAGTATTGTACCCACCACTGTAGTATTGTACCCACCACTGTAGTATTGTACCCACCTCTGTAGTATTGTACCCACCTCTGTAGTATTGTACCCACCACTGTAGTATTGTACTCACCACTGGAGAAGAGCCAGGAGAAGGCTAGTCTCTCCTGCGGCAAGACCACCGAGGTGGTCTGGTGGTATCCCGACAAGGTCTGCCTAGCAACACAGTCCACGTGTAGACCATCGCCCCCGAGCAGACCAGGGGGGATGTAAAAGTCTAGGGTGCTGCTAACCCTCACCGGGGGGCTGCCGGCCCCGCGTAGCTGGGGGGCGTACGACACTGACCAATCCGTGGGGGCCTGTCAGACGTACGATGTTGCTGTGTTAGTTTCGTAGAGATCAGAGGGTGTCTTTCGTTGGTTCTAATACACTTTAATCTGACAAACAAATGCATTATTGAGGCTTTGTAATTGATTGACATTTGTAGAGAACGTTAGTAACGTTACAAGCATTCACTAATTACTTCGATTTCTTCATTTCTTATAAAACTTCAATCCTAGAAATCTTAGACCTGCAACTTGCTTATGACGCTGGAAATTTTGTTAGTTTTCATCATTTGTTGCAGAAGTAAAACTTTCCGTTCAAAATTCATATAAATTCTTCCATTTTGTTGACCAGTAATTTCCGATAGATTTTTTTAATTAAGAAGCGATGTTTGTAAAATAGTCTCATCGTTACTGTTCCAAGAAATACGTGGGAAAATACGAGCTTACAAAATAGTAGCACATGGGAAAATACTATCTTACAAAATATGTTAAATAGCACATGAGAAAATGCTTGCTTACAAAATCATCGCATTAAAATCTCGACGGGAGGTCAAATGGAATTTCATCGGCAAGAAGCATTGCTGTTGAAAATTCTCAACTTCCCTATTTTTTACACTTCTGCGAAGAAATGTTCACACGTTTGCATAACATGGGACGTAATTACGCTCAAGCTTGTTCAGTCCAGTTCAAGTGGCAGCTCTCGAAACGGTGCGGGCTCAGCCCGTAGACTTCTAGCTTGAGGCGGACGCCTGATGTGAGATGACATCCACCACAAATACACCAATTTAAATAAAGGATAGAAGATCGAAAATGAATTTGTGGTCGATGAATTTCTGAATGCAGAGATATCTTTATCAGAGATTTCGGTGATGGGGGATGGTTTGTTAGATTAGAAATTTTAGGATAAGCCCATTCTTTAAACTTGTTCGTTCCTTCAGATCTTAATTTTCCAAGTCAGAATTTAGTAAATAAATTTGAATGCATCCAGAAATAATCAAAAAAATCATCAGAAAAAGTAAGTGAGGTTTTGAAGTTTCAAGCTGTATCTCTTATATAGATAAATGGAGGCCAAATTCTAGAGTATTCAACGTTGAATACAAAAAAATACAAGCACCCTGGATGATAAGAATATCCACATGGATTCAAATGTTACCGACGTCCTGAATTCGGCAGCCAGCAAGTGGTGAGTGGCTAATCCGATGACGTTAGAGTGGGCGTTGCCAATTGAGGCGCAGGCTGTCCGTAGACTTGGTCCATTAGACTGGATAAGCCGGCCGATCTTTCGACTGCGGTCACGACACGCGGATGGTGACGCTTGCAGGTAACGATTTTTCAGTCATAGTGACTAGTTCTTATTATTATTCGTGAAGGTGAGTGTCCATTATTGGAAGTATTTGTCCACTCTAAATGCTGAGGTTTTATTCATGATGACGAGTGTTCACTTATAATGATGTGTCTTCCTTCTCAATGAATGAGTGCTCCCTCATTTGAATGCTCATTCACTGATAATGAATTGTTCGCTTATGGTAATCAGCGTTACCAACTATCAATAGGCATTTACTCATACTGATGCGTGTCCCTCAACAATGAAAAAATTGCCGGGCTAAAGCCGCCTGTGAAGCCTTTTAGCTTATATGGGCATTCGCATGGAAGAATTTTATATTTATTCTCAAAATTTTCGATATTTTCTTCTTATGATTTTTTTGTATGCTCCTGCGTGAATAAAGAATAAAGAATGATGTGAGTTTACTAATGATTACTCAATAATGATAGATGGTGATGGGTGTGGTGGAAGGTCTCACCCGTTTGCCGTTGACGAGCCACGTGATGACGGGTGGTGGGGAGGCCGGGGGAGTGGAGCAGTTCAGCAGCACCCGTTGCCCTGACCGCACCTGCAGCGCTTCCTCCATGCCGTACATCGCGGGCAACCCGTCTGGTACGTCTGGGAGACAGGTATTAATAGGTCCTAATAGGTCTGGGAGACAGGTATTAATAGGTCCTAATAGGTCTGGGAGACAGGTATTAATAGGTCCTAATAGGTCTGGGAGACAGGTATTAATAGGTCCTAATTATTAATAATGGATGATGTTACAATTAAAATTAGGTCATCATTGAACTTGATTATCCTTAATATTATTCCTGTTACTTTAAATGCAGTTATTATTCAAAGCATCGCTATTAAATTCATCGTCCCTAATATTTATCAAGCTTATTATTTATAAAAAATTTTTGAAGTTAAATATCTTATCAGCTCATAAGTGATTCTAGTAAATATTGCGGTCGCCCTTCAGATATTTTGATTTTGTGAAAACATAAAAAGCTAAAAAATAATAAATTCATTTATCTGGTCGTCAACTTAGTATTCAAGACACCAGGCCATGCACATCACAAAACATTATGTGCAACACAAAACATCATGTGCGACACAGCATATCATGAATCAAATATATTTTTTCAGAATCCGGTATGCTTAAATTGCTGCGCCGCGAACTATGTATATGCAGGGATTGCGCAATGATTAGTGAAAGAACTGGCGCTCCAGGATGATCAATGGTTATTTATACTCCATTTAAATAACATCAGGAGAAATAAAGTCGATTATTCGTTCAAGCCAACAGTCCTGTTCGGTGATGCAAGAATTAAAGCATATCAACAAATTTTATTAGTAATTTTAAGCATTGACTGGTAGTCTGAGGTCAAGTCTTTATTCGGGAAGGAATGACAGAGGTAGGGCAGTGCAAAATATGTAGTTTCATTTTGACGAAAAGCGTTGACTTACTTATTAACCTTCAATTACATGCTTTAAAAATCCTTTTCCGTTAACCCACTTGGTATATTCCTGTTCAATATTCCCTAGGTCTGCCTCTCCCTCGGCTCCAGTCGTGACTACAACGTAATTAAGTCCTAGGAACCCCTCAACCCCCTCCCTCTTAGCCCCCCCCCCCTTCTGAGGGTCATATGGCAATTACAGAGCTGACTGCTAATCGCAGTGTGAGTGCTAGCACGCCAAATATAGCGGCAGCACTAGCAGTCTCAGGTAAACTAGTGCTGGCCAAAGGACTACCTGCTTTCCTGACAGGCTACCGTTACATGTTATCTGTGGCCTCTCATTGTGCCTCAGCCTCTTGCGGTCTAGGAAGGAGTATATTATTTTCTGTCGCTCGTATACTGAATGAGATGCTTAGCTTGACACAAACATATCCATTTATTTTTCTGCGGGAGTGATGGAACTATTGAGGAGGAAAAATATGCACATCTTCTCGCACGGCACCATAGCTAGCAGACCATTCAAGGCTTCTCATCTTGAATTTTTTATGAAATTTAGGGTAAAGATATGAACGATCGCGAATTAGTTGTTTGGTTTTAATTGTTCTGTGCAATATTTAGTAATAATATTTGTGTAATATTCTGTTTTAAATTTTGAATGCCGCAGGAAGATTCCGGCATTCGAAACCTAAAACCATGCGAATTTTTTTACAGGCAATTCTCAAACCCTCTTCAACTGAGTTTTTTTCACCACATCGTCTCCTAAACAAACTAATGGGGGAATATGAGACCCAATTCATGCCCATTTGAAATCCATTCTTCTGAGTTTGCCTTTCCTGAGTTCCCGAGTAGGTCGCAGAAATACCCATTTTTATCTGGTCAAAAAGAACGCACACATTCATGAGCTGATGGAGACAGAGCTGGACTTCTAGAATACGACTTCGTGTTGGCAATTCCTGGGCTTTTAGCTGAACGATGCGGGCGAAACCAAGACAGTTTACCCGCAATGGCATGAAACACTCCAGGCAGCAAAGGAAGATTTAAGCAGGCTCATGTGAAACTTGAGATTACGTTTTATAATATTAACCACAATATTTATTTCTGTGTCATAATCTTCTGCATGAGCTCATTTTAAATTGAAACACTCTTCCATTATTAATTATATTATGCTCGAAATCCATAACACTTAGTCTGTTGGCACAAACCTCGGTAATAATCAGGCTAAATGTCCCTTCCAATAAAGATCACATGTAAAAATTAAAATGAAAATTCATTTTAATTCCGTAGAATACTTTAGGTGAAATCCTGCAGTAGTTTGAAACAAGAATTATTCATTTGTTATTTATTTCGCTTCTCGATACCAAAAAAGTATCATGATTCGATAACAAGACCATCGTCCTTTTTTGTACCGCAGTAACTGTAATTTTACTCTACTCGACTGAAAAAAATCAGTCGTACAATAGCGGCATAAAAATTTTCAGTAATCTCACGCAAACTACATCGCCAAGTGACCAAGTCATCTTCGTCAAGGCATTCAAGAAATTTGCGGAAACACGGAAAGTAACTCCAGGTCGTCCGCCTCCTGCATTTGCGGCCCCACTTTTCCTGAGTTCTTTTGGCATAAAAGGACGGATGAGCGGCCAGGGTAAACATAAAAATGGTGACCTTTTGTTTTTGTCATTTAAATATTCAGACATTGAATTGTCATTGATATTTGTATAGTATATTGTAACAGTAAACATAATATAGTATATTGTAACAGTAAACATTATATAGTATATAGTAACAGTTAACAGGTACTTCGTGAAGATTGTTTCTTTCGAGGGATGATGTTTTGATATTATATAAATATTTCAATAAATCGTTGTCATTCATAGAGTTTCCATAAATTTATAAGTAATCTTTGAGGGATTCTAATCATATTAATGAGGATGAGGATTCTAATCATATCAATAAGCAAGATTTCCGACTACTGTGAGTGATCGTTGGAAATCAATTAATAATATTCAAGCGTTCGTCGTTTGTTCGTTCATACTTCGATTCATGGAGATGTTTTGCATACTCACTCACGCAAGCATACAGTGCATGCATTAAAAAGTAAAGTCGCTCTCAAACGACAGTCATATAGACTTGCTATGAGACATTGTTTACTCAACGATGCATTGAGAAAAAAGTATACAGATATATACATAATGAATTAGTAAACTGACTCACAAACAACAGTCATGTTGACGTGCTATGAAACATCGTTTACTCAACATTCCATTGAGGAAAAAGTATACAGAAACATAAGAAAGTAACCTGACTCACAAACAACAGTCATGTTGGCTTGCTGGGAGACTGTGTGGAAGGTTTGGTCAGCCATGACCTCGCACTTGTATACACCCGCGGCGTCTAGGCTCACAGGTTCCAGCATCACTCGCTCCAAGCCCTTGGACCCGTACTGGCATGTGAAAATATGAGAAACTTGAATAAAAATATTGGGTAGAAGCAATAAAAAATAACATCATGGCTTCCTTAACCAGTTATGTGGATTCATCATAAAGTATTTAGACATAAAATGTCATCCAAATGAACCCATCCTAAGTAGTTCCGATATTTCGATGGCTGGCTGTTGTTCTCCTGAACTGAATATATTCATCTATATATTTCAGGCTTCATCGGTACATTTGTTTATTGTTATCAAGATACTGCATATCCAATTGGACCACAGTGGTGCCTGAATGTTATCAATAAGATCCAATGGTTGGGCAGGAAATGGTACATCAGGATGGTGAACACTGCATGTAATTCCTGATAATTCCTGAGGCCTGAATGTTAAGTTCTCCATATTAGGTCGATTACGGACGATATAATTTGTTACAACTCTTTTGAATCACCATCGACGTATCAAGTCTATAACTATCAATTGATAATCACGCTACTATATCGATGAACAACAATGCTACAATCATTGACATAATCTTAATAGACGTAGTTCACTATTTACTCAACCAAGTGCAAATAAAAAATATTGTACCTGACCACGTCTTCCCGAGCATACTCTTGTTGTAAACATACAACTTATACTTCAACTTAACCTACACAGCTACACTATACTCACAGGATTGAGGTGTTCAGTAGCAGACATGTTAACAGACACGCCCGATGCGTGGTAGTATGACCGCTTAGGTGGTACTAGTTGGTAGAACTGGTCGTCGCCGCGCCACCACTTGAGGGTGTAGAGCTTGTCGCCCTCCTCCTCATAGCGGCACTCCAGCACCACCGCCTGACCCGCCGTCACCACCGCAGGCACGACCACCTCCACCACGCGGATACCTTCACTCGCCGCTGCACGGAAAACACACAATTTTAATGAGTTATTGAAATTTATCATACATTAAGGAGTTAGAAAGTGTTATCATCTGGATGTATTGATTTGTTGGAGTTCCGAAAAAGTGAAAAAATATAACTGTAGGGAGTGACGGAGAGCGCATTTTCTCGTCGACGAAAAAGTGAAATCACGGACGGACGGATAGACAGACAGACAGACGGACGGACGGACAGGGCGAGCACAATAAGGCATTTTTTCCATAAATGAGAAAATGCGCTAAAAAGAATCTACGAAATCCCTCAGTAATTGTTTGTGTAATATTTGAAGTTATATCAAAGAAGCTTCCATGTTTATGTCTGAGAAATAATAGTTGCTGCTTCACAGGCATTGTTTTCCTGCAGACCAATTTCCTAATAATTCGACAGATCAATTGCGGCATGCAAACTAGATCTGCTGCTGCTCACAGACGAAATAATTCCTGCAGTCAGAAAAAGAAATTGTGCCGATCTACCGCACAGACTTGGCTCCTTGCTGCTGCATAACACAATTGTCGTGCAGACTGGGCTGCTCGCTGCTTCGCGGCCCAGATGTCGTGCAGACTGGGCTGCTCGCTGCTTCGCGGCCCAGATGTCGTGCAGACTGGGCTGCTCGCTGCTTCGCGGCCCAGATGTCGTGCAGACTGGGCTGCTCGCTGCTTCGCGGCCCAGATGTCGTGCAGACTGGGCTGCTCGCTGCTTCGCGGCCCAGATGTCGTGCAGACTGGGCTGCTCGCTGCTTCGCGGCCCAGATGTCGTGCAGACTGGGCTGCTCGCTGCTTCGCGGCCCAGATGTCGTGCAGACTGGGCTGCTCGCTGCTTCGCGGCCCAGATGTCGTGCAGACTGGGCTGCTCGCTGCTTCGCGGCCCAGATGTCGTGCAGACTGGGCTGCTCGCTGCTTCGCGGCCCAGATGTCGTGCAGACTGGGCTGCTCGCTGCTTCGCGGCCCAGATGTCGTGCAGACTGGGCTGCTCGCTGCTTCGCGGCCCAGATGTCGTGCAGACTGGGCTGCTCGCTGCTTCGCGGCCCAGATGTCGTGCAGACTGGGCTGCTCGCTGCTTCGCGGCCCAGATGTCGTGCAGACTGGGCTGCTCGCTGCTTCGCGGCCCAGATGTCGTGCAGACTGGGCTGCTCGCTGCTTCGCGGCCCAGATGTCGTGCAGACTGGGCTGCTCGCTGCTTCGCGGCCCAGATGTCGTGCAGACTGGGTTGCNTCCACTCACACGAGGCAAGTCAATTTAATCCAGTCCAGCCATGTGCCTCACGAAGCAGTCGCATAAGCCACAATTATGAGGCAACGATTGGCAGTAAATCTCCTGGAATCATCGGTCAATTGTTAAGTACGGGGATTGCAGAGCCTTACGACTCGCTTCAAGGATCGTGCAATCCTACGTCATGGTGTGATTGGTGACGCTGCCTTTAAATCATAGACAGGTTATGGCAGACTGGAGAATATATGCACGTCGGTATACTTTTAAAGTTCAGATTTTCAAACGAGCAATGTAGCTAAAACCGTGTTGTTCTTATTTTTTTCTTTCAGTTAGACCTTTTTGAAAATATCGACCTTGTATTGAAAGACTTAGGAATAGGAAACATATGTTCGCATTGTCGGGAAAAAAATTCCTACACAAGCCAGATTAAATATTTGATGTTATTTCCTTGTTTGCAACCGGTATGATGAATTGTTAAAATATTTGATTCAAAAACAAAACTTTATCTTACAACAAATGCAATAAAATTTTCATTAACGTAAAAAAAATTGGCTTTTGTCTTGTGTGCGAGCTTTTCTGTGAAGTCATTAGACGTTCACACGCACGCCAATCTGTACAAGAAGCAACGCTTTTCCAGGAATGAATTTTTAGAAGGTTTCGTGAGCTTAGAAATTGAAAAAATAATAAGCAATAAATCCAGGATTTTGGTCACTGAAAATATTCTGAACGGCCGATAAAGTCTACGGAGATTGCACGTCACTTCTGGACAGGCCTTTTAATAGGTTAAAAAGGTTGATGGCAACTTATTGGGATAAAAATACGTGATTGATGAGGTAAGCTCTAATATTATTCTTTAATATTCAAAGAAGAAAATTCAAAAAGGGATGAAATTTTTAGAGACAGGGAATTAATATATTGTCTTTAATTGATGACAAGCGAAAAATTCTTCATTTTCGAGTATAACTGCCAATTTTCATATAAACTCATATATTATAATTTTATGAAATTGTGCCGTTTTTCCAATTATTTGGCATTCTATTCCCACACTTTTAGTTTTTGAATTAATTTACGAGTACAAATAAAGCTAGCCGGTATTGTACATTGTACAATATATTGATAATAATATACAGTTTTAACACTATGCCTAACTATACCAGCATAAACGCCATCTTTTGATATAATTCAGCAAACCTGAATGCTGAAAATATGAGTAACACGGAGAGAATTTTGCTTTATTTTGTTAGAATACATAAATGCGAGAGTAAGAACTTTTCATACGACAAATGAAAATCAAATGCGAAGTATTGATCGACATTGAATTTTCAGCCATGATAGTTGTTCGCCACCATCAGGGATGGAAATACGTAATCTCTTTAATTTTAGCTATGAACGCAAGATCATCACGACAGTTAATTTAAGTTTCCATCGGCTTGATTTTCGTAATGACTTGATTGATGGATTGACAATAAGTTTGTGTACGAAGACTCATGCCATAAAATTATCCATGCATGGCTTCCACGGAGAAGTGTTCAGCTCCTCATTATTTCTCAATGAATCGCGGTTGTGAAGCCAATCAACGCTTTAGTGTTTCCGCCAAACTATAGTGAAAAAATACAGAGTTAACGAATACTTTGTTATTTCAAAGCGAAAACGTTTCAAACACAGACTTTGGTTTATAATTATTTAGTTAAAACGCATAAATGTTATCACTCTCGAGGCTAATTTTAGTTATGGCTTCGTACAATTAGTTCCTTGAATCAAATTATGCCAACTCGACGACATATAAGCATGTCATGGTCTCTCAATATAAAAATTGTGTACAAATATAATTTAGAATTTAGGAGACAAGGAAGAAAGAATATAAAATCAGTTATGCATTAAAAATTTGTTTATTAACGCCGAGTGTAAATGGAGTCTGAAGCAAAGCAGAGTCTTCAAATTAGTGCAATGTTAATCCGGTGAGAAATATTGGCCGACACTTGGTTGGCCACTGTCTGGCCGATGGAAACGGCCTATAATTCTGCCACAGGAGGAAGATTCGTGTAGTAAACATAGTAGTAATACAGAGCACGCACACAACCAGCACGACGCTACACAACCTGTATTGATTTTGTATCTCATAACGCATGATTCGTACGTCCCACTGACCACACAGCACTGCAGAGACCGAATATCAGATATGATTACGTGCAGCGTAAGTTTCAGAACAAGATGCAGCAAAGAATGACTCATTTTTTTATATATACATTACCACTGCATCAAATCCATATCAATATACTTATGCATTCTTTATCGAATGATCGAGTTATTTTTTCGTTAAAATAGATCGATTAAAGATTTGCCGAATCGCAATTGATGCGGAGCATTCAACATGAATATGCAGGTTTCTCTTGGTCATCACCACTTCTCTTGGTCACCATATTACTCATTCATGAGTGAATTGTTTTGAAGTTATGTAATTGCACATTGCGATTACAAGGAATCTTCTTATGCATGATGACTGATTAGTACATTTACGACATCGTAACTATTATACAGAACCATAAATCAAAAGCTTCTCGAGCAGCCAATCCTACTCAGTTCCTAAATCAGGTAACTACAATTTGGACGTGATCGATCACTTGGTGATTGCCGCAAGGCTTGTGAACGACGGACGGTTTATTTTTTTTTTATCATAACGCATTTTTAACGTTTGCAGGCTCTTTTCAAACGATTTAGATCTTCATTGGAATCTGAGCAGGGATTCAAAGAAGGAAAACGTTATTTCATATTGTAAGATCGGACTTTAAAATGCAAGTGTTTTCATCATTTCCCTACAATTAAGTGCTGGTATTTCAAAATCCTCCTAAAGGGCGACAATGAATCATCTAAGTGAAGTGAAGTTGTTGATTGAAGTGGGGAAATTATAAAAAAAAATGAAGTAGTTCACTGCAGTAGATCGCAGTGCAATAAAATAAATCCAACTATTAAATAATATGAAGTTGCCAGTGAATAGAATAGAATAAAAGAAGGGAGGTGAAGAAAATAGAAGTGAAGTGAAGTGAAGTGAAGGGAATTAAAATGAAGTGTAGTCGTGACTGTGATGGTGCAGACGTGACGTGAACATTTAGCTATAAGGTCAAGACGTCGTGCGTGGCGTCCTATTGATCCATGCTACTCCAGCGTGACTTGGGTCTCCTGAGTGTGCTGATCCTACCAGGGTCTGGCGTGTAGTCCTACAAGGGTCTAGCGTGTAGTCCTACCAGGGTCTAGATTGTAGTTCTACCAGGGTGTAGCGTGTAGTCCTACCAGGGTATAGCGTGTAGTCCTACCAGGGTCTAGCGTGCAGTCCTACCAGGGTCTAGCGTGTAGTCCTACCAGGGTCTAGCGTGCAGTCCTACCAGGGTCTAGACGTGTAGTCCTACCAGGGTCTAGCGTGTAGTTCTTCCAGGGTCTAGCGTGTATTCCTACCAGGGTCTAGCATGTAGTCTTGCCAGGGTCTAGCGTGTTGTCCTACCAGGGTCTAGCGTGTAGTCCTACCAGGGTCTAGCGTGTAGTCCTACCAGGGTCTAGCGTGTAGTTCTTCCAGGGTCTAGCGTGCATTCCTACCAGGGTCTAGCGCGCAGTCCTACCAGGGTCTAGCGTGCAGTCCTACCAGGGTCTAGCGTTTAGTCCTGCCAGGGTCTAGCGTGCAGCCTACCAGGGTCTAGCGTGTAGTCCTACCAGGGTCTAGCGTGCAGTCCTGCCAGGGTCTAGCGTGTGGTCCTGCCAGGGTCTAGCGTATAGTCCTAC